GATTCAGCCCTAAAGGAGGATTCCTGATCTTTACCTTGTACCACACTGTTACAATGATGGCACCAATCAGTACAGTTCCAGCTACTGAACCACAGACTAAGCCAATGAGAACACGTAGGGGGCAACTGGGAGCAGATACGGGTTTGTTTGAAGTGATTGCAATGGGTGTATTTAGTGTTGCTTTAGTGTTGCTTTTTCTTTCTGCGGTTGCTGTTGAGCCAGCATTGCGTGCGAAGAACCAGTGATAGTGAGAGGTGACGGTGGCAGTTGACGGTGGTACGGTTGGCTCTTTACAAATATCTTCAGGATCAATATCTGCGAGTTTTCTTCCTCGGAGTTTGGGGGGTCGGTCACATGTTATCTGGCTGAACTTACTTGAAGGAATTTTCGTGATATTCAATCTAAAAGGAGCCATCTGACAGTCACACTGAAAAGGGTTCTCGGCAAGTCTGATGGTACAAATAGAAGGCAACAAGCTAAAAGCTGCAGGGAGAATGGCAGACAACTGGTTTCTCCGGAGGTCCAACATTTGGAGCTGGGTCACATTTTCAAATGTACGAGACGGAATTGTCGTTATATTGTTGTCATCCAGGTACAACTCTGACAGTTGGGGAAGATGTGCAAATGTAACCAACTGTATCCTGTTGTGGGACAGGTACAACTTTTCTAGTAGCGGTAAATTACGGAATGTGTGGAGCTGAATCGTTGTTATCTGGTTTTTATACAGGCGCAACTCTTTTAGTTTGGGTAGGTTTTGAAATGACCCTGCTTGAACCATTGTTATCCTGTTACCACACAGGTTTAAGTAGACTAGCATGGGAAGCTTTTGAAACGAACCTTTCTCAATGGTTGTTATCTGGTTGCTTTGCAGGCATAAGTATTCTAGCCGGGGTAGATTTTGAAATGCGCCAGCCTTAATCTTTCTTATCTTGTTGCCCAACAGGTGCACCAGTCTTAGCTGGGGTACATTTTGAAACGTACCAACCTGAACCATTGTTATATGGTTGTGTGGCAGGAACAGCGATTCTAGGTTTGGTAGATTTTTTAATATACCAGGCGGAATCACTGTAATCCCGTTAGATGTAAGACGCAAGGATTTCAAATACCTATATCTTTGTATAACGGACGGATTTATAGTGTTAATACTATTTCTAGTCAAATCCAAGCTTAAGATGGATGTTGGGAGGTTCTCGGGGATGCTCCTGAGCCTCTTTCCGATGCACTTGCAATGTGATGATGGTGCACACCAGCAGCCAGCTTCTGGCATGCTGGGCTCCTTCAGGATGATGAGAAGGAAAATCAGCAGGTGTCGCAGCTTTCTTCCCATAGTGTCCCGACACCTAGAAAGATTATTCATTCATTCTTTATTTCAGATAAAAAAAATAAATAAAACACAGTACATCATTAAAACATTACAAACCTCTAGAGACATACAAATAATACAGAAAAACCTAGATGTATAGTAAACTGTAAGTCTTTCGGAAGAAAGAGTTCCTGTAAAGGCACCAGATCTTAGTAAGCAAATTAATTGTTTTAAGAAAGAGTAACAAATCCTTTCAAATGTATCAATATAGTGGTAGACAAACATCTTACTAGCACTACATCGCCGAGGTTAATTCATAATAATTCAAAAGCAATTGTGGTAAGCAACTCGGCATTTAAAGATTAGGAAAAAGAAGCACCTTTCTTTGACGACGCAAACCTTATACATGTATGTGGAATCTAGAGATTAATAAGGTAAATAACAAAGGGTTGTCTTTGTTCAGAAAGGGGACAAAACGTAGTCTGACTCATGTGGACTCCCAGCATTTTGTCTCTGTTTTCACCTCTTACAAAATTTGTCACATTGACTTTAAAAAGAAATGAGATACGGGGCAAATGTATTGGTCCTGATTGACTTTTCAAGACAGTAAGTTTGTTTTCCCCTCGTTTGCCGATGTGCTTTTAGTATACGTTTGTCAGCAGTTCTCCTTAATTAAGTGTTTGAAGTGCGCAAGGACGTTATATAATCCTTGTACGCACTATAAATGTCCTTGGAGTGTGTAACAACCATGCCTAAGTTCCGGGGGAGGAGTTTAGGAGGGCCTATATTATTTCAAATAAGGCTATCTTTATAATATTGATACATACTGCATGACACCAGCACATTTCAATCAGCATTTCATACTTTGGGTATTTAACACTGCAGAAAAAAGACCCAAGATGAGAACTTTATTGCCTGGGTTAAAAATCCTTCTCGCGTCTCGTGACGCATAGGGCGGCGCCCATCTCCGTTTTCTATAGCCCTGGGCCACACAGCAGTGCGGTACAGTAGGGGGCTAGTCCACTGGTATTTCTGGGCGGTCCCATAAAAATCAGTTAATCACCCTTCCAGTTACCATTTTCCGTTAGAATTTTTGGGTATTTTTGCTCCATGAGGGTCAATATACGTTGGCAAAATGTCATTCAAGTCTGTACTAGTTAAAATCTTGACTTTAAAAAATCGGGTTTCCAAGCCCTAAAAACCGCCCGTACACCAGTGAAGAAGAGCCCGGCAACCGCAGGGGGTCTTACCCGGCCACGCCCAAAAGTGCAGAAAAAACAGCTCTCGACGGGCTCCTTTTTGCAATCTTGATTCTTTGCCCAATTAAAAGGCAGCCAATGCGATTTCAGGGCAACACAATTGGAAATATTCTAAATAAGGCAATCTTTGTGATATCGACACATACTGCTTCACATTGATTATAATAGCACATTTAAATCAGCATTTTATACTTTGTGCATTTAAAGCTGAAGAAACAAGTTCCAAGATGAGTCCTTTCTTTTCTGGGTGGTACCCTAAAAATCAGTGCAGGGCCCTTCCAGTAACCATTTTCCGTCAGAATTTTGGAAAATTTTGGCTCCATGGGGGTCAATATACATTGGGATAGTGTGGTTTCAATTCAGTATGTAGATAAATTTCTAGAATGTTGACAAGCCCCAAAAACTGCACTGGATGCCTTTAAGAAAATACTACGATTAATCTCTTCCCTTTCTTGTATTCTTTTCGTAAGAAAGAGCAAGAAAGTCAAGACATTTAAAACAAGTAATGGTTAGAATTACATATAATATTCTAGAATATGGAGCTGTTAATTGTCTGAGACTTGCTGCTTGAATATTAATGTTGTGTACTCCTTTTTTATCACCCTGTTTGCAGCACCCTCGGGCAAGGAAATAAACAGAGGGGTAGAAAATTGAACACTTTTGTTTAAAATGATCTTTAGTCATCATCTGTTATTTTCTGTCATGTCGTTAAAACAGACATAGGACTGCTTTTTAGACCCTCTTGTTAGTCACGTGCACTCTAATGAATAATGTACAAAATCTCAATGACACCACTGATGCGCGCTGTGTTCAGAACTAACATAATCTCCAAGCAGATATTAAAGGCATCTATAATGCGATGTCAGAGCGGCAAAACTGGAAATATTCTGATTAACGCAATCTTTATGATATTGACACATACTGCTTCACATTAGCACATTTCAATCAGTATTTCATACTTTGGGTATCTAAAACTGCAGAAACAAGCCCCAAGATGAGTCCTTTATTTTCCCCTAAAAATCAGCCAAGGGCCCTTCTAGTAACTATTTTCTGTCAGAATTTTGGGAATCTTTGCTCCATGAGGGTCCAAATACATTGAGATAGTGTGGTTTCAACTCAGTTTGTAGTGACTAGAATATTGACTTTGAAAAATCGGGTTTCCAAGCCCTAAAAACTGGATGCCTTTAAGATGAAAGATTGTTAACGTTTTCTGACGGCCAGGCTTCTCTGACAGTCATCTACCATCATCGTTTACAGACCGAAAATGGCATCCTAACATCTGCTTGGAGAACACACCTTATTGCATGCCTATGTGCGTATGCCTGAGACAATGTTTGAAAAGCTGTCTTTACTGCAAATTTTACCATTTATAAATTATGTTTGTCCATGGATATAAACGTACCTTTCGAGTCAGTCAGACTATCTTCAGTTGGCACTTTCTTGGCAAGAACTCGGACGTAGCTCGCTGTAACAGTTGTTCTTGTAGGGTGCGTCAGCCTCCTTCGGTAGCCGATCCGAAATGCCGTGTGACAAACAACCCAGGATTATATGATATAGAGCCTTACGTAAGAGTTGATTGTCTGAAGCTGGCTATTTGAATAACATTGATATTTATGATCATGATTAAAATTCTAATGATGATGCAGGTCTCCAGATGCATGTTTACTTTAATTCATACTAAGAAAATAAAAACAAGGGACAGATTTCTAGGATTTGATTGAGAAAGACAAGCTTATCAAATTCTGGCTCAAAATTAAGATGCAAAGCAGATTTTTAAATAGTGATATGCGTTGTTTTTTTTTCATTTGCATAAACAACAGAGCGTAGGAGAGGGTCTAACGTTTGAAGAGGGGCCTTGTTAGAACGTGTGGGCGCTGATCTAGGAGATTGTTTGAAGTGTGCAAGGACGTTATTTAGTCCTCATATGCACTATGGATGTCCTTGTGTGTAACAACCCGTATTTTTGCATTTCGGTGGTTAGTCTGGCATGTCTTGGCAAGCTAAGTTTGACGGTACGAATCCCGCTGTCGGCATTATTTTAATTTTCTTTTTAACATGCCGAAATGTCAGTTTTGAGACCTCCCAACTTGGCGATGCCCTCATCTAGTTTTTTTTTTTTTTTTTTTGCGGCCGGGCCAGCTTTTCTTTTTTTTTTACAAACTTTTCTCGTTTTGTTGTCATTTCCGTGACATTAGCACACCTTTCGTAGTTGTTGAGAATCTTGCGGCTTGGTTCTGTACCCTTTCCAGTTTTTTTTCTTTGTATATTGACAAAGGAGAAGGCACGTCCTTTCAGACAGATACAAGTAACTTGTACATATATCAACCGCAAGCATCAGGGAAGATGCATGGCGACTGTAGACATGTCCCTCCCTCCTCTATGTTTTCGGTCAAAGTTGTAACGGTGCACGAATGACTTTGAAAACTTTGAAATGGGAGCAGCTTTTCAAACAATGAACAGCGAGCCCAATCCGTTAAATACAAGGGGTCTACAACAGTCGCGAGCTCGTAGAACTAACTAACAAACAAACTTACAACCGTCAGCTGTAGTATACTAGTAACGTTACATGTAGATCTCTACCATGACTCACAATGCTACTGTAGGGAGCGTCATCTCGATACATTTCATCTCCACACAACAGAACACACCCTGAAGGGCAAATAATTCCCGCACTTTCTTAAACCAACAGTCGGTCTGCTTGCTGAAGTCTTGCTGTAAAGCCTTGGGAATGCTAAAAGAGTAGAGTTTGTGCTTGTGATGGCTTTTTTCTTCTGAACACTCGCATATTGATGACTTCTCTTTCAAAGCTGTCCCTGAGTTCTTTTCTAAACACACGTAAACGTTATAAACAGCCAGCGGTACCATAGAAAGGCATGTGCCCTCCTGTGTAGGATCGTACCAGTACAGAACGGGGTATCCCACAAAGAGTCCAAACAGCGTGGAGATGTTCCAACTTTTTTCTGGTGTAATGTTGCCCTGCAGTACCGAAGATTCTCGCATGGTGGCAATGTACTTCGCCACAACCCGGGCACAGTCACGCACAGTCTGGGTACAGTCTTCTGTCGCTGCTCTAGGCTCTGGTAAGCTGAAGGTGACATCCACTACGAATTTAGAAGAATCAGACTGCACCGCTTCTAAATGTGCCACACTGGCGTCAGCATTTAGTACAAAAACATCAGATTCGACCGTCAAAACAGCCAGTTTGCGTTCAACGAGCCCCGATCGTAACAGTTCCTGGACGAATGCCGTCATCTCCGAACCAACAAAACCGCCATAATCCACTAGAAACATCGGTTTCAGACCTCTGTCCACAGATATAATATCGCACATCAAATCCGTGGTGTATTTGGCCGCTTTCTTGCCGAGAGAGTTGCAGACAGCTTGCCGCCAACGCGCAGGTAGTGAAAACTCGGCGGCCATCTTTGTCACCCCGTCTGACCCCTACTTACCCAGAGTTCCGTGGCGTCCGTCTCTATGGTAACAGCAGGTGAAGCCATCGCCACCGCCACACAACACAACACCTGCCCACTCTAGTACCCCGCAAGTGGCCCGTAGTTTACACAAGTCTATTCGGGGGGACTGGATTTAGAAAATACTTGAGCAAAATGGTGCGCGAATTGAACATGGACACTCAGCGCCAGAACTTCTGGAAAGAGTCTATCAAGAAGGAGGCTTACGTCCGGCTTCACTGGCTGGAGAAGTACAGCAAGGACTTTAACAGGGCCAGGAGCTCGCTCAACCGTCCCAGGCGGGAGGCAGCCGCGCCCGTCGCGGCTAAGAGCAAGAGTGCGCTGCCTGCCATCACACAACGCCAGGTTCCGTGGTACGGGAAGAAGAAGGAAAAGGCCTCCGACTTTCTGTTGGAAAAGGAAGGGGACCCGAATGCTCTTTTGGTGGAGATGCGACCTGTGTCTTCACAGACACGCAAGCTGCTCTACGACGGTTTCAGCAAGGAAGGAACTGGGAGGTAAGAATTATTCTATTTCATTTTTTTCCTCAACGAGTTTGAGTCAATAAAACGCTTCTGGACCTTAAGTTGGTGGGACTGTTCGTTTTATTTTAAGAGATTAATAATTGTGACAACGTATGATACTTGGTACTACCTATTCGGCTCATACCAGCTGTATCTGACTTGCATTTTTACACGGTTCCAAACAGGCACAGCAATAATATCGTACCTTTCATAGGTTATTACCTTCATCATAAACCATTGCTTCAGTTCCTAACATGGGATTAATTAAACTACCCTGATTCGACTTCAATAAAGAATAGCTAAAGAACGAAGTAATTAAGTTAAACATTAACGTTCATTATAAGTTACAATGACTGAGAATCGGAAATGTCTGGCTTCATTTTTGATCTTTGAACGCAATCTGTGTCGTTTGATCTCAAACATTACGATACTAATGGTGATCAATAATACCCCAGTTTTCCCATGGAGCTTACACAGTATTAGCGTTTGTATCCCACAGTTATTTCACCGTTCTTTCACGTCGTTCCCACGGTTATGTAAACTTCAATGGCCGGCCCCATGTTTCCCAAGTGATGACGTCAGGTTGTTACCATGTTTTGATGTTCACGGACCCAGAACGTGTTCTCTGATAACCCCGTATACCGGTGTACATGTAGTTTTTAGTTGTGTGTGCTAGATGAAAATATTCCTAGCCTCCCTCGCTGACTTATGCCTCGGCGGCGTTGATTTTTTTAGGGGAGGGGGAACCCTGATATCCAAGCGAGTTTTGCCGCGAAAAATTAACGTCGACGCCGCAAGGAGGCTAAGGAAATCCGACCGTAAAACCCGTCACCCAAGATACCTAGCCTCCATAGCATGCCAAAAACCGGGGATTTGGGGGTCTTCAGGGTCTTTGGGAGCTTTTATGGGCTATTTTCTGATTGCCTATAGACAACATAGCCGGCCTGGTTGAATTATCCCCATTTTTAGAACTGGCATGGGCTATAATCAGAAAACAGCCGAAGACCACCAAACCCCCAGTTCTATAAGCCTGCTACGGAGGCTACAAGATACCGTCTGCGCGGTACGTTCTACGTGCTACTCTCCACAGTAGAGGTTTAAGTTTCAGCTTATTTTTGACGTGTTTTTAGACGGTTTTTATCGGGGTTTTCTGTACTGGTATCGATTTTTATGCCAGCCAAATGTCAAATGGTAACTGTCTAGCAAATGGATGCAGCCTGGCCAATTCGATGCTGTCTTTGCAGCCACCAAAAGATCTGCTTCATGGATTACGTTCTACGTTCTGCTTTAATGTTGTTTTCTACGCGTGTGGAACCGTGGATTTGGGGCTTTAGTTCAACTAATTGTCATCTAATCCGCTGACTTTAATGTTACCAAAACAAAACATCCACCATCGCACGAACATATTAACAACCGTGACAACGCGCAAACACCCTCTAGACCACAAGGAAGGGGCCTTAGCTTTCCAACGTTACATGGTTACGAGTGATCAACCCGTTTCACGCGAATGACGCATGTAATTATAAGATCTGACAGTCTGAGAGTATTAGCCGCTCAACCAATCATAGCATGGCAATTTTGGGATTTTCTACTTTTTGACAGAAGTGGGCGGGGCTATGGGACGGTCTATTACACCTGTTGTCGCGACCATGCGCGTTTGTGATCTCCAAGCAGATGTTACGGGGGTTCTGATATGTCAGTAGATGTTAGGGTGGAAGATTTAGATTTTGTTTTATTTTTGTTTTACTAGTATTTAGATTTTGTAACTGCTGGGCTTCTTTCACAGCCTGGCCCCTATTGTCACTTCTTATTCATTGTCATTTCCATATAATAGCTTTGTCATTTCTTATTTATTGCCTTTGTCAGAAGGGTATGTTTTCGGTTTGGCCATGGTGAGTGTTTGTGGTGTGGGTCTGTATGTATGTCAACATCATAACTCAAAAGTTTTTGTTATGACTTGGCCGGGGATCGAACTCACGACCAAATGCAATACAAACATTCTGCCCACTTGGCCATTGTACCTGTTCTATTGTACTGTGCTTTTGTACTGTTAAATATGAAAACATTACCTGACACATTGTGATCTGTCCACACAGGTATCAGTACCTGGAAGTTCGCAAGCTGCGAAAACCCGAGGACAAGTACGAGTTCCCGCTCACCAGCGCCTGGGAGTACGGCTGGAAGCTGAACGAAGTCATCACCGAGAAACAGATGAGAGCTCCTCAGTTTGGCCGCAGCCGGATTGTTCAGGACACCTTCTACCGCAACAAAGGCATCATTCCACTGGGAGACATTGCCACTGTCCATGTGTAAAAAGCATTATTTTTTGGCAATGCCTCAGGAGCAGAGGCATTTCTTTTGCTCCTAGGAGAGTTGCCAATTCATAACATTGAGGGCTTGGTGTTCATTTTCATTGTAGCCGTATAGTACAGGACACCTTCTACCACAACAAAGGCATCGTCCCCCTTGGGGACATTGCCACTGTTCATGTGTAAAATAAGAAAGGCATGCCTTTTTTGGCAATGCCACAGGAGCAGAGGCATTTCTTTTGCTCCTAGGAAAGTTGCCAATTCATAACATTGAGGGCTTGGTGTTCATTTTCATTGTGAATAAGTTGCGTTGCCACTATGTCTTAGTTGTAGTTTGAGTGAACAGAGTCTCGAGTCAGCAATTGTAAAAAATTCACCTTCGCAAATGTATTAAGAAGTGAAAATATCATGTATATGTAATTTTTTTGAGTGTTGCCAACTAGAATGGTGAAACTGTGAATTCTCAGTAACAGCTATGATTATATGTTACGGCAATGAGCAGCAGTATGACCTACCACACGGCTCACCCTGTATGACAAGTTTTCTTCTATAGATTCAGTTGCCAAAACATCCAATTTTGTTGGACAGGCCAGGTGCCAGCACCCTTACAATGCTGCAGAATAACAGACGTTTTGTTTTTATCTTCACATAAATCTATATAAGAATACCCAAGAAGAGTTGTCACAGTGTTATGCATACTGAGCACTGCATATAAATATAGGTTGTTTGGAATAAACTTTCCTATGATGCTGTAATGCCTCCAGTATGTAATACAACAGAATGGGAATAAAGTCAAAGCAGAAGAACATACATGTACAAGCAAATCTCCTTGCAGTAACATTGACGTTGTAAGGCTGAGTATTTTTGGTGCAACATGAAATTTAATACTTCCGTGAAGTATCTAGAGCTGTTGTGAATTTCTTCTTTGTCTTTTTTATTATGGTGAATTTCTTGCTAATTCTGACCTAAAGTTCAACCTTCCTGTCAGTCTGTGGTTATGCAATTTTATTCAAATATTCAAGTATTCAAATAAATACATATCAACAGACAAGCAAACAAACACACCAAAACAAATCCTCCATACACAGAAAAATCAGACCTGTACATGTCACGAATATCAACAATACGGGACAAATTTTATTTTCTTCTGTGCATTCATGGGGAATGGAAAGTAAGGGGAATGAAATACTACATGAAAAACAGCGCTCTACTGACAATAAATTTCAGCATTGTTACAGCAGAATAGTTACTATAACTCTACAGTCCACATTTGTATAAAAAGGCACATTTTCATGTTGAAACATCTCTTTTGAACAATGTCATGACTCAATAACTTAAGTACATAGTTTTTATTACATGTAATCTTCAATGAACAAATTTGGTTTTTAGATACGTGTAAGGCTGTATATAACATCAACTCTTGTCACTACATTTTCAAGGCCTTCTTTCTCAAGAAAGTATTGTTGAACACATGGAAATCTGATGTGCGTACCTCAGGAATTACTTTTTAAGTTGAATAATTTCTGCTTTTCTATCTTTCAACCCAACTTCATAGTTCAAGCGATTCATTCCATGATACTTTCGACCAGTCCTGCCGCAATTTGAAGTGATTTCAAGCCTAATGTGTATTGTGTGGATATGGATTTGACCTTGAAATCACTTTGAATCATGGCAGAAATGGTGGAAAACAAAGAGGTCATCAGAGGCAGTGGCATGAAATACCGGTATTTATATTATATTATATTGTTGGTGGGGTGGGGGAGGGTGGGGATGAGATACTGATGACAAAATTTGGGCCCTCGCAACCAATCTAGTAATGGAATCGAGGGGCATTGTCTCTGGAAAATTTAAATACAATTCTGCATTTGAGGGGTAAAGTCTGCTGGTACACAAGCTATGTTTAACATCTCAAAAATACTAGTACATAAACTTCTCGCTTGAAATCTATGATTTAGGGAGGGGGGGATTATAAGAGTTGACATTGGCAGCATTTGTGGCTGAGGTCAAAAAAAGAAAGGTCAAGTTTCCATGGTCAAGTCTAATTTTTTTACCTTAAAATACATAATGAAACAAACATTTTGTAAATACCACTTTACTGTAGTGTAAACAAGAGTCAGTGTGAAAATCTTGCACTCTGCCCTGACTACTCTCTTTCCTACAATTCCTGATGGGGAACATATTTGGGTTTTAGCTGTTCGATCAGTTTTATAAAGTCAGTTTTCTCAGCACAACCCTTGCATTCCTCTCCCCAGTCGTTTAAGATCTTCTTCAGCTCTTTGACCCTCAGTTTCTTCAAATCCACTGTTTTCCAGTCAATACTTTTCTCTGGAAATAAAAAAAAGGACAACATCAAAGTTAATGTTGTAACTTAGCATGAAAACATGCAGCCTGTGTTACAGGGCTCTAGCCAGCTAGAAATGTTTGTCAGCCCAGGTTCATGATTGGACCTGGGGTGAAAGTGCTCACAGTGTAGGGGGGTCTGGGAGCAAATTTTGGGTTTTCAAGCCTTTAAGAATGCAATTTCCCACATTCTGAGAGGCAAGTCATGGGGTTGAGAGTGGTCGTTGGTGGTCCTTTGGATGTTTTTTATAGCTTGTCCCAAGATTTTTGTCAATTCCTTCTGTCAAGGTTGACAATTTTTCCTTCATTCACTGCAAAGTTCCCGCAATTGATGGGAAGATGGGTCCTGGATAGAGCTCTGCTGTGTTATCCTATCCAGCAAATCAAATTGGTATGGCTTTACAAGAGGCAAAACTAGAAGTACAATATTATGAAACTCACCATATTTTAGTTCGCATATCTGAGCGTCCTTGCTTTTGAGAGACTGACAGACTTTGTCCACAGGTTTCCTCCAGGACATGGGTTTGGTCACCTCGTTCACAATCCCTGTGGCAGCATCTTCTGTTGCTCCAATATAGTAGCACTGGAGGAGAAAAGAACAAGGTGTAATTTTAACTAAAGCTGTGGGGAGGGGGCATAAGATGGCAATAGCTGGTTGGGGGGCATGAGTGCGATGATGATGTGTGACTCACCTTGGTGACTTGAACATGACTAATGCTAATAAGGGTGGACTGATGTAATGTATCGATTCATGAGATATTTTGTAGTAGTTCATAGCTTGTTAAGTGTGGTAAACAATTGAGTCACTTCTTCTTTCATTTGGCCAGGATTTGGAGATCTCAGACCTTCATAATCTATTTAGATCTTGTGTGATGGTGACTGTGTTCTCTTTAAAGTCTTTCTCTATTGTGCAAGGGAAACAACATTAGCTGTCAGCTATCAAGGAGGTCATGTAATGAAAAACTCCTATGAGAACATCGAGCGCTACCAGATGTAGACAGTGATTAATGACTTTCTCCCTCTGAGACAGACAGTTCCCATTCATACTGTTATCCATTACAACCTGACCTGAGGGACATGCAGGAACACATACACACACACGGACACACACACATATACCAAAAACTATACTTCCATTTTCCATGGAGCTAAAAAAAAGCACTTACAAAGCGGTTCTCCTTGCCCTTGGCAGTTTTACATGCTTTCCTGAGATGTTTCTCGATCTTCTCCATGTTGCTGGCATCCTCCTCCGGGATACTGTCAGACAACCTCGTCAGGAACTTAATGCAAACTGGAATTGAAAGAAAAAAGAAAAAGTTCAATAACAAAAGCAACCATATGTCAGGAAACATGTTAGGTCAAAGCCAATGGAAACTGATGTCTTAGTACAAGAAATTACTCGTAGTTCTAATTTGTGATTTCTAAAAGGGGGAATAAGATTGTCAAATCTCCTTTTCATAAAAGTGATATCGATAATATTCTTAAACATAAATCGTTATTTGCTTTTGAACTGTGGCAGTAACGTTACCTGAGGTAAAAACGTACAGTATACAAATGCCCTAGTAAAGTTGACTTCAATTTTGCAATATGATAATTTCATTGCTGGACTATTGTTGCTTTGAATTTATACCTTCAATATTTCGGGTACCCTCCTGGCATACTCTAATAACTGAATCTTTCTAAATTATAAAATGTGTTCTTTTTGACAAAATTATGTCATAATTTTGCTAAAAGGAAAGGTCATGTATTAACTATTGTTGTTAAATCTAAGAGCAGATGTAGGCTTTTTTCACCTGTTTTGCGACTTTTTTTGTGTCTTTTTTAATTGGTCTGCTTTTTAGTAGAGGAAGGCTAAGTGATGAATCATTGAAACGCCAACGTACAAAACACGAGTAAAGCAAGCCGGTCCTAACATCTGCTTGGATACAACACATTATGAAACCCAAAAGAAACGTTACCTTCACAGTCGTCCTCTGATTTTTTAGCCTGGGCTATTCCAGCTAGTAGGCTGATAACAGCGAAGCAGACACAGATACACAGCACAGATACGTTCATGTTGCCGGTCCAAGTTTCTGTCCTGACAGTCAACAAAAACGTGGACTTTCAGGAAGTATCATGCCTGAGTCCAGCTGGCGGTCTCTGATAGGTCGAGAGAAACCGTTCCGGAGTAAAGGTTAATCTCATCATTACTTCCGGGTTCTGATTGGTCGGGCAGAGTTTATCCGGGGCAAAGGTTAATTGGGTTACTATTGCTTCCGGGTTGGCTTCTCCACATGTTCATCAGTCGGTAGGTTTTAGGAAAGCTCGTACTTTTGTGTAATAAACGACCCTCCAAGTAGGTGAAATAGTTACAGAACTGCAGCTAAGATGGCCGCTTCAATCGGAATTTCCTTCGGCGCCACTTCTGCGTGTCTGGCTACACAAAAGGTAACGTTTCCAACAAATATTTTGCAAGTGATGGGGGAGGGGGGCTTTTGAAAAAAAAAAGAAGCTGTACTAGTACATGTACTACCATGGAGGTAGAAAACTATTTTTTCTACCTCCATGGTACTACGTACGTTTCTTTGCAGTGCATGGTACCATATGACACCACAGTTTGTGTGCTACAAAATCGCAAGCAACAATCGTGTGTATCTTGAACAAAATGAGTTAGATTAATTAAGACTTACAAGCTACCCTGTCCCACATACGTAAGAACTTGTGTGTGTGCATGTGTTGCTGAGATGATATCAAATCATAATTTGGCATAAAGATAGTTTTGGTAAAGATGGCCAGCAATGTGTCACTAATGAGGAAGATCTACATTTGCCCACGAATTCTTTATCAAAATTAATGAAATATCTTATCAATATGTGTTAATACAATTTCATATTTTTACATTTTTACAGTGGTGTTGACATTGCCAAGAATGATCACATTGTGAGAGTTTATTTTTGCTCCCATGTTATCGATACATGTACCAGCTATACAGATACAGATAACGTCCTCATACTTTTCCACGCAGGATGGCAAGGCTGAGGTTGTTGCAAATGAAGACGGCCAGCGGGTAACCCCGGCTGTGGTGGCCTATACAGACACTGAAATGGTAGGAAAATACAAATTCCATCTTAGAGTTATGTCTTGGTAAATTATGTCTTGGTAATTTTATTTGTATCATGTATGACATTTCATGACCTCTTATACAATCATACACATAATACATTGATTTATGCCAATCTCTTATTGTTGAAGCTTTGATTCATGTTCAGTAACGTTATCATACACATACCCACATTACCGGTAAAAGGTTTTATGGCAAGCACAGTTCTAAATAGAACACTGGTTTTACTAGGGTTCTACATGCATGTTCCAACAGCAGAAGGCGTTGGAAGATTCCATTGCTGCATGTCACTTGTGGGTATAGACTATTGGAGATGGGGTTTTGTGCGCGTGAGAAATTTGCGCGTGAAAAACTTGCGCGTGAAGAATCTGCGCGTGAAGATATGCAAATTAGCTGACTCCCAAGGGATTTGAAAACTTTTTGCTGTTTTAAGCTTAAAAGTTGAAAAAAAGACAAGAAAATAAAAATTTAACATCATTTTGCTTGCATTCTAGACTACATACCCTTGTTTTGTCCATTTTTTTGTGATTTCAGGTTATTTTGAAAGGTAAAGTTTTCACGCGCAAAAAAGGTTGAAATTTGCGCGTGAAAGAATTTGTTTAAGAAAGCATGAAATCAAACTTCTAGAATGGAGAAAAGCTTCAGATTGTTACATTTTACCATCCTAAACCTCATACTAGTAACTTTTCCATGTATTTCTTACAAATTCAAGTGATTTTCAAAAGGTCAGGTTTTATGGAAATTATGCAAATTAGCTTATTCCCAAGGGACCAACATTTTCAAACAAAAATTTTGGCTAACAGAGGGAAAATTATACCAGAGGACAACATTTTCCTGCCTAAGAATTTGGTACTGCATATTTTCTAACATATTTCTAAGACTTTTATTTTTCACGCGCAAATTTTTCACGCGCAAGTTTTTCACGCGCAAATTTTTCACGCGCAGAAAACCTGTTCCCGACTATTGGAACACTTCACATTTTGGACAGGGGTGATTTATAATTAGGCACAGCACATTCGCACGGGATGGAGATAGGTCCATTTTTGGTACAGGGGATGTGGTGAAACCATCTGCTGCATTTGCTCCCGAGCAAATGTCAGCCTTTCTAGTTTTATTAGGATATGTTGGGCAATGTTACATCTGAGATTCTGATCGGAATCACCAATTCTACCAGATCAAAGTCTTTTCTCAGACATGTATATGTACATTTACTTTCTGGTTGGGTTCAGTCTTGTAACTAAAAAGCATGATATTTCTCTGTTCTTCCCCCTGTAGGTAGTTGGCTTAGCAGCAAAACAAGGTTGGATTAGAAATGCTGCCAACACTATAACCAAAGTCAAGCAACTTCTGGGGAAAAAGTGAGCTACGTTTTCTACAAGTTTTCTTTATGTTAATGTTGTAATAGGACCTTTACATGTACATGTCATATTGGTTGTCAGATTTGCCAATAAGATACTATCATATATAATGAAATGAAAAGCCATAAAAGTGTGTTTGTTTCCAGGTTTACTGATCCAGACGTGGAACATGCTTTGAAAATAAGCTCCTGTAAGGTATGATGTTAATTTCATACACCTTTTTTAGAAATATTTATAATGATCGTGCATTTATTCTATAGACAAGTCTTTGTGAGGTATGGCATCAAGTGTTGTTGATTTTCTTATTGGTATTACAGACTCACTCACTCACTCACTCACTCACTCACTCACTCACTCACTCACTCACTCACTCACTCACTCACTCACTCACACACTCACACTCACTCACTCGAAGTCAAACTCTTAACAGTTCAGCTACCTGACTGTACAATAGGACCCTTCTAATATAGAGTCGTAGATACGTACATGTGTGCACATGTACATGTAAGCAGACAACACACCGAAAACAAAACCTCCATATACGGAGGTAATGAGGTTATCAAACTCAGCATTTAATCTACTTGCAGATTGTTGAGAAGGATTCCAACCCCATGTATGCAGTGAAGCATGATGGGAAGACAGAGCACTTCTCCCCTGCACACATCACAACTCTGATATTTCGCAAGTTAATGGGTGAGTAACTATGCTTAATACATATTCCTCTAGCATGACAGACTGTACATTGCCCTGCAATACTGCATCTTTCAGATAGAGGTCTCTTCACAGTTATGGGGTGACCTACGATGTGGCAAAGACATGTCATGTCTATGAAGTGGAAGTAACAATCATGTGCGTGCTGTTTTTTGAACACCTCTTTACAGATATTGCCCAGTCCAAGGAGACGAGTGCTGTGAAGAATGCTGTCATTGCTGTCCCACTGAACTTTGATGAACAGCAAAAGAATGGTATAAGGTATGGGTGTAAAATAAAGTTGAGCGTAATGATGGCAATTTCTGGCCTCTAACTTCATACACTTGTATTACATGGTGGAGAATGCTTGGTGTACATGCTAACTGACAGAAATGAAATACAAAAGAGGAAACCAACACACAAAGATATTCATTTTGTATTCCATATTCCTCACAATATATCACATTTTTGTTACAGTATTAAAAAAGCATTTGTGATATTAATTATCATAAAGGGAAACTTCAGATGCTGACTTGTAGTTTCCCTGAGAATCCCAAGGAGAATTGGTTATGATCAGCCTTCTAAGCCTTCTAACTTCTGGCTGTTTGGTACAGAAAAGCTGCGACTGAAGCAGGGTTCAATGTGCTAAGAACCATCCCGGAGCCTGTCGCTGCTGCTTATGCCCACAATATTGGACAAGAAAGTTCCAAGGACAGCAGGTATGTGTGAACTTGTGTCATCAGGGTTGTCACCAGAATTTTTTCACAGCATGGGGATCAGGTACAGAAGGATAACTTTCTGCAGCGTAAGGCAAAGACATGAGCACAGTAGGTATTCTAGTACTCTCTATGAACAATTTTAATGAGACACTTTTTCCTGCTTATTGAGGGACATTTTTTAAATAAAAGATTCATGAACGGTAACAATTCAAGGTTCTCCCCAAAAAGAAACACTGGAAAGACGTTTGTAGGGGGCTAGATCACAGCATAGGAGGTCCAAATCACAGCACGGGGGGCCCCTACGCTCAAGTAGCCTAGTGAGAACACTGACCTGTGATAAATGATATATCATTATTTTTTACTATTACTCTCATGTCCCGATTAAACGTACCGGTACGTTTATTTTTTTCGGCCCGAACGTCCACCCGGTACGTTCTTATTAGGGACGGTACATTTATAAATTTTTGGAAAATCGGTTTTGGAAAAAAATTGTCACTATCGATATAATTTTATTTTAAGCCTTAAAATAAAAGAAATTTACCTTAGTTTCCGTCTCTCTCGTTTTGCAACAATATTTTCCCATGTCTTTGTTACCGATAGTTATCTAGAAATCACGAAGAACAAGTTTACAGGCCGTGTTTGGTTCGGATCGAGTCACCAGTAGTCACACTGTGACGCACGTAAATATTCACTCGAAATGAGAAATTAACGCCCAACAAAACGGACCATTACGTTCCCAGTGCTGTATTACTCTTTTGTTCTTGTGGTCAACTTGTTTTCTTTGCTTGAATCGCGTAAAATACCAAGGAAAATACAAGGAAACCGGCAATCGCCGAGCCGCGCCGATCTGCCGGCGCCATCTTGGATTTTTTTGGAAAGCTGCAATTTGGCCCAAACCGCTAGAGGGGGCGAATTAAAATGTTTAATATATTCGGTCTGAAGTTAACGTTATAGTATCATGAGTATGGAGCTCTAACAGTAGAGGTGAAGTTTGATAATGCATAGAACGGATAAAATAGAATAAAATTAAATGAAATAAAATAAAATAGAATAAAAAATAAATTGAAAATAAATAAAAAATAAATAAAAAGAAAAAAATAAAATAAAATGAAAATTATTGTAGTGGTTACTTATACTTATATTGTATTTAGCAAAAAAAAATTCGGTCCTGATACTCCGGTATTCAGAATCAGGTACAGGTACAGGTCCGGACCTGGACCTGATCCTCTGGACCTGGACCTGAAAGAGCCGAACAGGTACCCACCCCTATTGCTAGTGGTGTAATATGGCTGTAATGTTGACACTGTTTGTTGAGGTATAGTATTACATAGACAGCCTCATGTTTCTTTTATTACATTGAAATGATGTTGTATTTCCCAACAACAAGTGCTAGTAAAAGTATATTTATATTCCTAATCAAAAGTAACAGTGAAAGATTTGGTATTGAAATAAAGAGCACATTTTAGTACCGTTCACCTGTCAATTTGGTCATTTTCCGGGGGGTACGTTTATTCCGGAGGGTATGTTTATTAGACTTTGAAGATTTCTCCGGGGGTATGTTTATTCCGGGGGGTATGTTTATTCGGGACATGAGAGTATCTATTTATTCCCTGTACATGTATTATTTTGAGTCATCCATGTTGACTAAGCAATTTCCAAATGACCCCTTGACACTCCTCCTTTCAACCTCTACGAAAAGTGGCCCTGATGGCTGAATAGAGCATTTTTTGAGCTTAAATAAAGGCAGCAAACACACAAACAAACCGGTTAGTGTGGCTATTGTAATTGACATGGTTCTCTTCCACAGTGTTGTCCTGGTGTATCGAGTCGGGGGGAGCAGCATCGATGGCACAGTTCTAGCTGTGAACGGAGGGATGTACAGCGTGCTGTCCAGTGTCAGACGGGACCATCTGGGCGGAGACCAGCTGAACAGCATCATAGTGGATTACTTCGTACAGGAATTTCAAAGGTAAATGCCTTGTAATAAGCCGTCTCACAGTTCCACGTGTGCATGTGCAGTTGTGATGTACAATGTACATGCGCTTTGGTATAAGGCATAAAGGCATTCAATGCAATTTTAGGACGGCAAAACAAAAAATATTCTAGATGAGGAGATCTGTCTGATATTGACATTTATTTCTATATCTTAGAACATTTTCATGTTTATTTAATAGTTGAAGTGTTCAAAATAGCTACAAAATAGATAGGTAAGGTATCCCTCCTTTTTTTTGGGGGTACCAGTCTTTGATGATATGTAGCTAGAGCCAGCCTACGATGATACAAAACAAGCAACTTTTTTCCGTCAGACAATCAGTAGAAAAATTCAATGGTGGTTTCTGTTTGTTGAACAAAAATGTACATGTCATTTAGATTTTTTTCCATTTTGTGAGTAAAAATCAGATCTACATATGATTCTATGATAAACTGATGAAAAAATTGTCTGAAATGATTTATCACATATTTTCTAGCTTATAACATAAGCTTCTTGAACTGTTTGTTTTGTCTGCTTCTCTTCTATGTAGAAAGTGGAAGATGGACGTTAGAGAAAATAAAAGAGCGATGGCAAAGCTCCAGACAGAGGCAGAAAAGGCCAAACAGATCCTGTCCACCATGCCGAAGGCCAGCTGCCATGTGGAGTCCCTGCATGAAGGAATAGACTTCCAGTGTGACATCTCAAGGTACTGTTTAAGACATATTCACAATTCTGGAATACTGTAGTTTTGGAAAGTATTAATTATATATTCATGGTGTCATAAAGTTGTGGTGGAGATGTTGCTGTAAAAAACACAAAATGAATGAATGATTGGATCTTTATTGCATATTCCTGCAATTAAGATTAAATGCTCATGTGACCATATGTGGCCTAGAGAATGTAAAACATGGAGTATTGAACACTGAAATGCTACATTCTAATGTTAAGTGCTAAAAGTCTATATATTACAACAATACTACTAGTATGTACTACAATGTCATGTACTGTAGATTGTTGTTTACTCCTCTCTTTTTGAAACATCTGGAAACATAATTTGTCCACTATACATTCATTCCTGCATGACATCAAGTATTTGAAAGTGTCCTTCTTTGACATTTTCTTACATATCTTGTCGAATTGTAAAGTTTTTAATAGGGCTTGGCGTTCAAGTAACAAAACGTATCTCGTTTTCGACATATACTAGTAAATCACAGCAAACACAAACATTGTAATGTTGCTTGTTTCTCAGGGCCAGGTTTGAGTCCATCTCCTTGAGTCTGTTGCAGAAGTTCCTGGAACCAATAGAGGAGGTCATCTCTCAGGCACAGGTCAAGAAAGAAGCAATCAAAATGGTAGGTATAAAACCAAACCAATTTTCTTGTTTGAAGTCTTTTTTTTTTTTCAAGAATGAAATGGAGGTAATAATAATCTTTTTTTTTTCAAGTCTGAAATGGAGGAAGCAGGCAAGACTTGTGATCTTTTTTGCTTTTTTTTCACCTCAGAAAAATCCCACAAACTGGAGAACCAAGAAATTGAATTGTTGCGTATATGTAAAACAATGTTTAACTAAAAAGATAATATTTGCAAAGCAAATGCATAATGTGAACCTTCACTTCTCATATAATTAGTCTTTTTCTTAGTCTAATCTGTTTCTTACTCAAGTTCATTTATATGACCAGCCCCTCCGACTCTGTCCTGCCAGTTGCTACATAATGTAATCGAACACCACAGGGTGTCTTGTACAACACCAGTTACCATGGTGACAGATGTCTGGTCCAGGTCACTGACCTTATTTACTTTGATAAGAAAAAGAAGACACAGAGCAAATATAATAATTCCTTTCTGAAACATGAAAATCTAAGCCTAAGGCATGTTGGTTTCTTGCAGGTTGTGTTATGTGGAGGGTCCACCAAGATTCCGAAGTTACAGAAGCTGGCTCAGGAGTGTGTACCCCATGCTGACGTCCTCAACTCTGTAGCACCGGATGAAGTTATCGCCATGGGAGCAGCCAAACAGGTGTGCTGTTGCATTCATTTATTACCTCCATGAAAAAAAGAGGTATTGTTTTTGTTCTGTGTGTGTGTGTGTGTGTGTATGTGTGTTTTAAATGTGTGTTTCTGTCTGTCTGTCTATGTGATACCGTGTGTGTGTGTGTGTGTATGTGTGTTTTAAATGTGTGTTTCTGTCTGTCAATGTGATACCGTGTGTGTGTGTTTCCACATATATGTGATCAGCATTACTTAAGGAGGCCTCAATGGATTGTTATGATATTTGGTATGTGGGTAGGTCTTGGGAAAACGAAAGTCAAGGTCAAATGCACAAACACTTCCAGGGAGACTAGAATTCTCCAATTTCCTGTTTTATTTCTTTGTTCGGCTTACAAACAAACTGCCAAGGCTGTCAAAGTAGGATACCGGTATACCTTAATTGTTAAGGGTTAATTGTGATCAATGCAAAATGGCTAAATGGCTTAACTATCATATATATTCACTAAGGTACTACATTTAGGGTTACAATATTGTGTAAAAAAATATATTTGATATGAGATGATGTTACATGTAGATGTACATCATCTCTTATTGAATATAGTTATTACACAATTTACACATAAATTCCTGAATGTTTACAACCAAAGTAGTGATTTTTCTAAACAAATTTTACAGTTATTTTAACAATACCAATTTTGTACAATAAGACACAAAACCCTTTTGCAATTATGTTGTAACAGTCGTAATTTTGCACCACAACTTTAGAACATTCTGCCTCTGACAATAAGCTTACACTTGGACAGGGACTGCAGTCACTGAACAAAATTGAAGTTTGTTCTTCAAACTAATGTTTGTGAGCCATTAGCTGCTTGGGGTAGTTAGCCTTTGTTGCAGAAAACTTCTGATGTTTTGGTAAGTCATGAGTCAGAAGGGACGTGTAGGTATGCGGCTGCTCAAGGGTGTCCTTCCTCAGCGGTTGGTAATGGTTTGGAGTGTCAGCACCGTGGACAGCTGCTGTTGCATTCTGTGTCAGCTGGTTCTCAGCTGTCCCATCATCACTATGGTTCGCCATCACCTGTGGAAGTGGTCCACCATCCTGGGCAGCTGTTAGCTCATGGCCATTGTAATATTTCTGTGACTGTGGACCTTTGAACTCATTGTCATTCTCATAACTGAAAGCCTGTGGGACTTTTGCGGCATCTTTAGCATCTGCGACCATCTGTCTATTCTGATATCTGTTGGACTTTGCCTGGTCCTTTTCAGTAACTACAAATGACATGTAGTCATTGTCCATGACTACCTCTACAATGGTTTCAGCATCTTGAGCAGCTGCGATCATTTCACTGTTTACGTACTTGTGGGACTGAGGATCATCTTTAACTGACTCATTCTCATCCTCATCCTCATCCATGACTCCATGTGCAGCATCAACACCATGTGTGGCTTCAGCACCATGTGCGGCATCAACACCATGTGCAGCTGATGACACATTCTGGCCACCAGCTGCTGGACCTGGCATATTTCTAGGGGGAAGGGAGGGCGGTATAACCTCATATTCATGCTCAACCCTGCCAAGACGTTCTGTAGATCTTTGGCCAGCACCTCTAAGTTGTCTTCTTGATGGATTAAGTACGTCCACATATTCTTCTTCATCTTCTATGGCACCATGCCTTACGTGGTCGTGGCCACTGATTGCGACAGTAGCTGTCAAGTTTGTATTGTTGAAAGCAACTCCTGAATTTGAGTTTGAAGAAGGGCTTTTGGATCTTTTCCTGCACCACATTGTGAGAATTATGACTGTGGTTACAAGTAGGACAGCGCCAACTACTGCACCAGAGACTGCGGCAATAAGGACAGGCAGGGAGAGGGTGGAAGTAGACTCTGTAGGATTTGAAGGTGGTTGGCTTGAGGCATCAGTTGTAGGGAGAGGTGAAGTTACTGGTGCCATCGTGTCAACAACAGACAGAGTCACCATGGCAGACGTGGAGCCAACAAAACTTGCTGCAACACAGACATACAGACCAGCGTCTGATACTGTAACATTGGTTATGGTGATGGCGCCATTTTCCCCAACAATCATCCTCCCACCTGACTCGACAGTGGTAATATTCAGTCCAGATGGGAGAACAAGTGTTATATCTGGTGTGGGGATTCCTGAAGCTTCACACACAAAATCTAGCGTTTCCCCTTCTACCACCGTGTTATTGCGAACCCTCTCAAACCTCAGTATGGTTGGTTTTTCACAGACCGACGTCAAATCTTCAGGACTGATATCTTTAAGCTTTTGCCCGTTGAAGTTGTTCGGTCCTTCGCATGTGATCTGGTTTTCAAACGAAAGCGACCCGTTCATCTTTTGCCTGAAGGGAGCCATCCTACAGTCACACTGCCAGGGGTTGTTGTCAATGTTTACAGTAGAGATGGACGACAGCTTGTCGTAGGCTGATGAAGGAAGAACCATCATTTGGTTGTCCTGCAGCAGAAGCTCAGAAAGTGATGGAAGCTTTGACACAGCCTCCGTAGGAAAGGTTTCTATGTGGTTGCTAAACAATCGGAGATGTGTAAGTAGTGGTAGGCTAGAAAATATTTCTGCTCTGAAAAGTGTCAGTCTATTCTGATACAGGTACAGCGTTCTCAGTTGTGGTGTTGAACTGAAAGTTAGACTCTGAATATTGCTGATATCGTTATTGTACAGCCAAAGTACTTCCAAGTTTCCCAGTCCTGTGAACATGTCAGATCTGAGGCTTGTTAGGTTACTCTGGTGCAGGTACAGGGTTCGCAGTTGTGGTGTCGAACTGAACGTTCCAGCCTGAATATCATTGATGTTTAACTTATTATTGTAAAGCCAAAGGATCTGCAAGTTTAGCAGCCCTGTGAACATGTCAGATCTGAGGCTTGTTATCTTGTTATGAGACAGGTGTAAAGTTCCCAGTTGCAGTGTTGAACTGAAAGTTCCACTCTGAATATTACTGATCTCATTATTGGTTAGCCGAAGGTCCTCCAAGTTTTCAAGCCCTGTAAACGTGTCAGATCTGAGGCTTGTCAAGTTGTTCCAATCGAGGTACAGGGTTCTTAATTGTACTGTTGAATGAAAAGTTTCAGCTTGAATATCATTAATGTTATTATCGTTCAGCCGAAAGGTCTGCAAGTTTCCCAGCCCTGTGAACATGTCGGATCTGAGGCTTGTCAAATTGTTCCGATGCAGGTACAAGGTTCTAATTCGCGGTGTGGAACTGAAAGTATCAATGTCCGTGATCTCATTATTGTACAAGTAAAGGATCTGCAAGTTTCCCAGTCCTGCAAACATGTCAGATCTGAGGGTAGTTAACTTGTTCTGATACAGGTACAAGGTTCTCAGTTGGGAATTTGAGTTAAAAGTTCCAGCCTGAATATCGCTGATCTCGTTATCGTACAGCAAAAGGGTCCGCAAGTTTCCCAGCCCTGCAAACATGTCGGTACTGAGACTAGACAGACGGTTTCCCTGAAGTTCCAGAGTGTCCAAATCTGACAAGTTATAGAATGCTTGGTCGTGTATTGTGGCAATACGATTGTTTTCTAGATCGAGATCTCTCATCTGCCTATACTGTGGGAAATCAGACTGATCTAACGTTGTAATTAGATTATTCTGCAGCCAGAGATCAGTTGTGCCTGGCGGCAAGTTGCTGGGAACACCGGTGAGGCCCTGGTTGCGGCAGTCGACGATTAAAGCGCGTTCAAACTGCGAAAAGCTGCAGGAATCTGTAGAGTTGAACACCGTTAGGATGATGAGAAGGCATAGCAGCCTCCCTGCAGCTGGTAGCAATGCTGTCATGTTGTTTCCTGTGTCAAGTCAAGTGACACCAGTCTGAAAAAAAGCAAAACATCAGATATAACTACTTTCTGTAACATGTTGATATTATACATGTAGATTTACCACTTATGCTATAATACAATGTATAATGTAGCAAACTATTTTTTTATCTGTTTGATGCATTTAAGATGCATTTGTGAAGATAAAAAAAGCGTAACTGCCAACAAGTTAGACTTGTTTCCAAATTCCAATACTGTAAATCTTGACATGTTCGTGGTGGTTTTATTTTCACAATATTTGCGTTGACCACTCCATCGCGAAGTCATAACGTCGCAAATGTGATTTGTTTGAGGTAGTACTGTTGGATAACCAGACTGAGTGTATTGTTGGCTGACCCAGGCTTTTGGCAGAAACGCACGAGTTGGCCTGTTGTCCTGTTCATTTTAATCATACTGCATGCTGCCGAGTGAAAAGTCCACTTAGCAGAGGTTATTGACAGGCTGTGTCTGTTCATTAAAATTTTTCTCTTTTGACAGATTATTCCTGTCAATAAGATTTATTTTTCACTACTGACAGGATGTTTTGCAAGGCGATCGCTCAACCGACTAAACTAACATGTGCACCTGTTCACAAAACTGATGGTACTGATTCAAATTTCTTCCTTCGCTTCCTGTCAGTAACAACTTTTTTGCACTATTTGCAGTATGTGCCTGGTCATAGCAATTTCCAATGTACTTTGTATACTATTTAACATCAAGATACAAATTTTTAATGTCGTATGATAAACCCATGACAAGGATGCTGCATGGTTGTTTACAATGTATAACAACTGCGATGGGTGGCAGGGGATGCACACCTGGCACGGACGTTTGTTTACAAGTAAACCAGATGAAGTCTCAAATACACTTGCTTCACTCATCTAAATACATATTAGGAGGGTCTTAATAAATAAGCTATTTGATCCACCTTCTCTACTGTTTCCACAACAAGAACCATGCCATGCTTCTTGCAGGAAGTAAATTTGTTTGAAAATCATAAAAGGCAGACACTCCCTGATACACGTGTACCATGCAAGAATTATAATTAATAGAAATCTGACGACAATCTCTAACCATCTTAAAACATGATTATAAGACCAAGATGAAGACTTACCCAGATACAGTGTCCTGAAGAAGGGTACAACTTGATACTTCAAGACAGAAGTAGCCTTGAATTGGAAGTGCACACCTGGCCTTACGAAACAGTCAAGGAAGTCACCTGTGTGCCATACCTGTTCACATGGTTGAGATTTTGATCTGGTATGTTGGGAAAAGCTGCATACACCTTGCATAAGAGGAAGGAATTCAAACTGTTACGCACGACTTGAGTTCTGTAAAGCGTAGAAGCTTTCAGATGGCATCCGCCATCTTTCTTCAGCTACTGACGAGGGAAGTCACATGACTTGGGTTAAAAGGTCATACCAAGGACATTCTGTATATGTCCTTGGTCATACCCATGATGTTGATCAATGAGGTAACAGCTACATCATAGCCTACATGTAACAGTGATACCTGGCGTGGCAAACTCTGTAACCGAGCCGTTGGTTTCAGGTTGCATCTGACACAATTACAAGGGCACATACCTTGACCTCAGCTATCTTTGTTGCTCACAGTAGCATAACCCAGACCCATAACACAGTAACCCAGGGGACTGTGGAAAACAGGTTGATGTTACATCACACACACAGGTTAGGGGTGTTTTACTGAGGCCTAGTCAAGCTAAAGCATTTTTCTGATAGCATATCGGATTGTAGCTGTCCATGCAGGAACTTCAGAACTTTATTTACTAAAAACAACATCGCAGGCGAGCATCCTGAATTGTGTTTACAGTATGATATGTACAGCTGTCTAAAAACAAATGTCACTTTAGCATTAGCAGATTGACAGTACATGTATCATGTGATCATTCATCTTTGAAATATTGTACTGAATCATTATATTCGTAAATATGCATTAAAAAGAGAGTAAAACCATGGGAAAAAACATGTCTTTGAATATTATTCACTGACCCTCATGCCTGATTTTTTGTCATCTCTTCAGGCAGCCCTGTTGTCTGGAAAAGGAGAAGAGAACTCGCTGAATGAAGCCATTTCAGAAATCCCCAGTACAGCAAGAGCTGTCATGCTTAAGGTATGTTTCTAATGCTCAGAGAAGGGCTTTCTCTGAGGGTTGGCTATCACAGATAAGGTATAAGAAACCTGGAGATTCCAGAAAATATTTGTTCACCATTTGTCCATAACTATGAAGGTCTTTTGCTTGTAAGGGGGTGTAGGTAATTTTGCAAATTACACACGTACAAAAATGTACTTTGCTATGTGTATATATATAGTCTATCATCTTCTAATGCTAGGATTAAATTTTCTCTTGATGGGTTCAAATAGTAAATTCATTGACATGTGCAGACAACCCCTGTATTTTTGAATGTAACATACATATATATGTATACATGTAGGACAATACAAAAAAAGTCATGTGTTTTCAAAAATGCCTGGTAAAAGCTTAGACATTTCACCTATAATTGTAAAAGCACAGTCATTCTCTTCCCAAGTGTACCTAGTATTTCGTAAAACTTGAGATGAATTTAGCAAGTCTCATAGTATAGCAGATGATGATATTGTACATTTTTAAGTCGTTCTTTGTTCAACAGTTCTGCAACAAAGTTTATTTGTATGTTGTGTTTAAAAACCTTTTAATTCCTTCCCTCTAGACCGTAGATGACTCGGGAAGCCCAGTACTGAAGACGTTAGTGCCGGCACATTCCCCCATCCCTCTACACTGTCAGCACAGCTTCAATGTCTCCCCACAACACACTGCCTGCTGTGTGGAGCTGTATGAAGGAGACCAGGAGGATACTGTGGAAAAAGCTGTGCTTTTAGCCAAGGTGGGGACAATGCCGTCCAAAGGCCAAGTGTACCAGTACCTAATTCTAAGTACTGTGAACAATTACAAAATGTAATGATTGTAACCCTCTTAAGCTTTATGTCATACCTGGGCCGTGATAATGTTCGATACAAGTGTGATAACTAGCGGTACAGCCTGGGGTTCTATTTGGTTATCACATAGGCTTCTGAATGTTAAATTTGAATGCGTTTTACCTGAGCCACATCAGAATTCAAATACCGGATTCGGACGTTGGAATTGATGTTGTGCATTTTAAAAATTTTTGGGGGGGTTTAGGGACACCATATTTTGGCTCATTTTGCATTGAAAGGCCTGTTCTCTTGGTTGTGTATGACTTAGTTTATTAAGCATCACCCTCGTTCCCTTCCCTCCTTTTGTTGGTAATGATGCCAATTTTTGGGAAATGTAGGTACAACATGTGTACTACTGTGTTATTTTTTATTTGGACACATTTTTAGCATGCAACAGGGTGAGCAATAGGTTAAGCATTCTTTGATTTCTTCAGATTGTGCTGAGTGACCTTCCAACTGGAGAGGATGATGTCAAGGTCGTCTCAGTTGCGCTTCACTTTCGAAGGTGAGTCTAGTTAGACTTAATGCCTAGTACAGTGTAGTAGTTTAGTAGTAGTTGTAGTATCTAATCATAGATCATGATTTTATTCAGATAATATATATATGTAACTTAAGAATATAATTGTTGTTTTGAGCATGTGCTTCATGAAAAATTGATAAAGCTCAATGCACATGTCATACATAATATTTACTTGCTGTGGCCAAAATAAGTTCATATTTAGTGGTTCTCATCATTGATATCTTTAGAAGAGCCTGTTTATTTGTTGTTGTTTACAGAGAGGGCAGTCTTCATGTCACGTGTACAGAGAAGTCTAGTGGCCAGGCTGATGATGTCACCATAGAATGTGCGACAGAATGATCTACTGTTTATCACACATTTGGCGAATAGACTCGTACAAAAGTGGGAAATCTCTATAACGTAAACTCGACTCGCACGTGTAAAATGCTGATCCACATTGACGTCTACAGTAAGTTACCGGTAACTCAAGACAAAGAGCTAAAGCAGATTCGACGAAACTGTGTGCTGTGATATTTTCTTTAATCTTTAGCATGCTAAGTAGCCGTTTCGATACCAATTTTCTGTAAAAAGCATGTGGGATTAAACCCAATAAAGTTACATTTCCTTATAAGAATGTCATTTATGATCTATTTTGTGCAAGATTTTCAATCTCAAAATTGCTGCAAAATGCATTCTTTAATAATATGGTATTAACATGTACATGCTATGGCACAGTTAAGTTTAACTTTAGTATTTACATACTGTACATGTACTGTAAAAATATACAAAAAGTCTTATTAATTATAGTAGTTACAGTTACTATAACAGTTACAGAAGTAGTAAAAATAAGTACTGCAATCATCTTTATAAATAGAAAATGGAAGACAAATTTCAGTTTGATCCCATAGAACCTGAAAGTGTCCAAATGATTGGCACTACATATTCTGCATGGCCTGCAAAGTACATTGTTTGGCAAAGTTTTCCTAACAAATATTTGTTATGGAGCAAGCATGGGGACCCCAGCATACAAATAGGATGGCACCCAGGCTATCCAATATATAGCCATTTACGAATTAAATTGACTCGTGTCTTGGCCAGCATGCCAACAGAACGTACTGCGCCTGTGCAAAACACTGATTTTTCACGGTTTTCATTGGACGTTTGGTCAACATTGCATCAGAATTTTGCCTGTTGCAGAAGATACTAGTATCTTTGCCGATACAACATTTGGAAACTACAGACGGGCTGTTGATAGTACATACGCAAATACGACTTTATATGAGGGGTTCTGCTGAAGTGCTGTGCACAATACATTATGGGTTTCGCCCAGGTACAGTACCTACAGATTATAACCCCGAATCTCCTTGTCCGTTTCAATGTGGCCGTACTGGATGTAGCCCCTATCGCTGACTGGCCATGTCTCCTTGTTCTCGTATCCCCAGTTAGTGGGAGGCTTGTTCTGTGTGTTGTGGAACAGGGTATGTGGTTCGGCGGGCGGCTTGTCCTCCGGACACATGCAGAGTCGCAGCTTGTCCAGCAGGTGTCCAGGCCAGAAGGCGTTGTCGTCCACACTGGAGGCATTGGGCGTGTCACTGCTTACCAACTTCTTGAACCTGACCTTGTGGGTTCTGTAACATTAGACGATACTTTAATTATAACTGCATCATAGACAGTAGGACGATACAAAATGTCAATTTTCTGGTCACTTCTGTACCAAGGCCCAATTTATGCACAGTGTTTCTTCACTTTTAGTCCTGTGTATTTTAGTCCTGTACTCAGTTCCCTCTACATTAGGACGATACAAATTTTCAATTTTCTGGTCATTTCTTCACTAGGGCCCAATTTATGCGCATAATTATGCACAATATGTTTCCCAACTTCTGCATATTTTAGTCCAGGACCTGTACTCAGTTACCATCTACTTGTGTTTTGCACCACAGTATCTGCGCTTTACATTGTTTTTTGCTTCATATTCAAATTTGTTCCTTTTTTGCTTTCCCCTTTTGCTAACCCATTTTGCTTGCTTTTGCTTGTTTTCACTCGTTTTTGCTTATTTTCGCACTTTCTGTACACCCCACATACCAGGTGCCTGAGTCTTACCTTGTAAGTTGCTCATATTCCTCAAAGGTCATCCAACAGTCCACCACTCGAGAGATGTTGGCCTTTCCGGTGGACAGACTCATGCGCTGACCGGTGGCTCCCACTCTCTTCTGCATGGGGTAGACGTGTCGGGAGTCAACCAACAGAGTGCCTTGCTTCGTCCGTTTTACCTGGAAAAAGGACGTGGAAGTTTGAAAAATTGAATGTTAGATTAACAATCAAGTCATAAACAATACCCCTATGTTCTGACTCCCCTATGTTCCAACAACCCTATGTTCCAACAACCCTATATTCCAACAACCCTATGTTCCAACAACCCTATATTCCAACAACCCTGTGTTCCAACACCCCTATCATGTTTTGACACCCCTTCGTTCCAACACCCCTATGTTCCAACACCCCTATGTTCCGACCCGCCTTTGTTCCGACACCCCTATGTTCCGACCCGCCTTTGTTCTGACACCCCTATGTTCTGACACCCCTTTATCCAACACTCCTGTGTTCCAAAACTGCTGTGTTCCGGCACCCCTATGTTCTAACACCCCTGTTTTCCAACACCCCTATGTTCCGACACCCCTACATTCTATGCCTGGAACATAGGGTTGTCCCCTCCCCTTATGAACAACACACAGGTATCAGTCTAGACATACCACATGATCGCCTTGATGCTTGACTGCTTTGTCCTCCTTCTTCTTGGCCTTGTGGGCTGCTGGTGTTTTTGCCCAGTCTTTAGACAGCAGGTCCAGTCCAGGCTGGCGCAGGGCAGTGGTGCTGCCGGTCAGCAACCGGTCACCAGGGTGGAGCAGGACTACACGGTTCAAACAATGGGAGGTTATGATTGGTCATTAAAATGTGCCTGCTAGGTTACATCCTCATTCATTATTTTTTAATTTTATTTAGTTCAATTTTCAACTCATAACAAGGCTCATAGAAACCACTGTGTTTTGGGGTACAATAAGAAACTCAAAAGACGGATGTTTACCTGCATGTGCCTACATGTAAGACTTAAAAAGTTTTTTTTTGTACCCATTCGGGAAGCTTTCATACATGTACATTGTAAGTGATGTAGTTGTACAAGTAGGAAAGACACTTTCAGCTTGGAACTTTTTTCTGAGAGATGGAGGAAGAAAGGGTGATTTGCTTCTGTATTAGTACAATTTGATTCAAATGTAGCTTTGTCGAGTCTTTCAATCAAAGGTAAAATGTTGAGTAAAAACTTGTCTTCCTGCAAGTGCCAGATGCATGCAGTGCCACATGACATTGTACTTAGTACTACATACTTTGAATAATATGCCATGATGAGGTAGTGTTTCTGCACCAAATTTGCATTGGTTACAGGGCTAGGCAGCAGGAATAAGGTCAAATTGATCCCAAACTGATCTAATCATAATGTGACACTAGTTAAGTTCACAATGCCTTACCTCTCTCCAGCAAACTTGATGAGAGCGCTGTGCCGCTTTCCTTGCAGAGTCTGCAGATCTGGTTATATTCACGCAGCCGCTGCTGCCGGTACCGATCCACCGCAGCCCCCATCTCCCCCGTCATAGAGGACGGTAACGAATGGTTGTCAACTGCAACATTTCCTGTCCGGATCAGTCGGACCGCCTCCTCCAGTTCCTGCTGTCGTTTCTTCTTCTTTTTCTGCTTCTCCTATTGGTAGCAAACATATCTCTCATCAGTGTGAAAGTTCATTCGTGAATGGTTCCAGAACAGACCTCCCAACAACTTTAATCTACCCCAGACATCACACTTCAGGGCTGGAAATACCATGTGCATATGCAGGTTAGTGCAGGTAAACTTGGAGCTGTGCAGGTATATGTATTTCTGATGTTTCAGAGTTACACCTAACTAACACCTTACAGTGTACTAGTGGGAAAAATGACCAGAAGTGGTCAAAATAAAGAATGAATGAAAAACTGCCTTGCATTCTTCAAATTAAAGTAGCATCATTGAAGACAGGACAAGAGGTCCTTCACTATTCCAAAACTTTTTATACTTAAGATATTAACTGCGTTACTGTAACAGTAATTTTAACTAATCGGTAATTACCTTCCCATCCTCCAGGAATCCATTGGCTACCAAAATACAATATAATAGAACAAGTTGTTATGATTAACGGTAAGAAATATTCTTGTAACTCGATCTTAAAACAGACTGTGCATTATGCACCCCTTTGTTGATTGAAAAGTTTCCAAAATTATTTCCATGTACTACAGAATTAGTAAAAATGATCCAACCCCCCTTCCCCTTTTACCACAAAATTAAGGCCACACCAAATTAATTTGTTGGTTTTCTGATTTTCTCAGAAAAAATATGAAGCGACAGGGCGAAAAAAAAAATGAAAATAAAAACAGTTCTAGGCATCCTATCATAGCCCCAAAAGCCACGATAGGAGCCATGAAGTCAACAACAAAGGTTGGGTTCACATTTAAACAATGAATTTTGAACTTTAATCAAACCACTGCATTGATAGATGAAAAAACCTTCAACAACTAGGAAGAAAAGGACTTTCCTCAACTGTTGAGGGCAAATTATGAGCATTTTTGAGTTGATTCAGAACCAGAATCTGTTTTTCTTTTTTTGCAAACCAAAAAAAAATGAAGAGGCGCATCATTCTGAGAACCAATAAATGAAATTGGTATTGCCTATAAGTCTAGTAGAAGTGTCTGCTAATTTAAAAATGAATGAATTTACTGTTACAGTACCTTTTTCTCCCACTGCTTCTCCCTTTTCCTTCTCTCCAGCATGACTTCACTGGAAAGAGGTACAGTCTCAGTTGTATCCACTGGTGGAACCTCTAACAAAGACGACGAACTCGAGCCCATGGTTTGACGCGAACGGTCCAGTCCCGTGTCCTGGGCCGTCTTCTCTGGAGTCTTGTAGGACGGGGCGTGAACCCTGGTGACCTGAGCTGACGTGGATCTTTTCTTACCGCCGTGTGTAGATCTGTGTTTCCCCGCTGCCAGGTTTTCCTCTGTAAAAAACATTTTGTGATCATTAAGATGTTATAAATGTATTCACCCAAGTTATGTTAGCTATCATAATGACGAATATTCGAAGATTGTTCCTGGGTGCCCCATGTTTCTAGTATTGACTCCAAATCTACTTCTTAGACTTAGAGATAAAATATTACAAATGCGTAACTTTTAGGGCAAAATTACGGAAAACTATCATTTCTATGGGGTTTGCCGTAATTTTGCTCCAAACGGGGACGCTAGGTTTACTCTAACGGCCTGAACATGCAACATGCAAAGAAAGATGGCCGCCCGGTAGTGTTGACAGCAGAACATCATGCAGCCAATGGGAAATTTTCATCATGGCCAATTTTGCTTTCCACGACTCTTTTGACGAAAAATGCCTGATTCAAGAGTTGCCATGGCTATTTGTCACTGTACTCACCAGATCTGGTGAGTCGAGATTGGGCCTGACTCCTCAGAGCGTCCCAGTCTTCATCGTGTAGTTTGTGACGTCCCTGCACCAGCTCCCTGTAGTCTATCTTCTCATTCCCATCCTGGTCCAACATCACCATCAGGTCCTCCAGCTGGTGGTCACTTATCGGTACCCCGGTCTGAAGGAGAAGAATTTCTTTTTATTCTATTCATACTCACCTAGTCACCCACCAAAGATCAAGATCCATTCATAGCTTCTCAAGTTATGCTGTATATATATACTGATATACAAATGGCAAATGCATAGGAAGCCCACTGCAGTACCATTGGAAAATGCCAGGTGAACCATTTTTGAACTTGACCTTCATTTTTACAACCGCTACTCACCTATCAAATATCATGAAAAATGATCCACAGCATGCCCGTAGCCAGGATTTTGAATGGGGGGGTTCTTCCCACTGCTTGAGGGGACCTCGAGCGCCGTAGGTGCGAGGTTCCTAGGGGGGTCCGGGGGCATGCTCCCCCGGAAAATTTTGAAAAATGAACCTTCTAAAATGGCATTTCGTGCATTTTCAAGAGGATTTCCAAGAAAAAATCAGAGATAGATTTTTATTCAATGACAAAGGGAGCAGTTTTTCTACATAAAATGTGGACCAAAAAGTGGACCTTTACTTAAAATGTGGACCAAAAAGTGGACCTTTACATAAAAAGTGGACCAAAAAGTGGACCTTTGAGCCTTGTGGGGGGGTTCTTCCGAACCCCCGAACCCCCCCTGGCTACGGGCATGCACAGACTACTCAAATTATACTGCTTACATACATACCACAGCCCACATCAAGGCCAAACCAAAAACAATTATCTATATGGCGGAGATATTTTTATGAATAAATAAATAAATAGCACATAACCTTCTCAATGAAGGTAATAAAACTTACCAGCTTGATGACCTTTTTAAAGTCCTCCCTACTGACCAGCCACTGCTTGTTCTTATCAAATCGCATGAAGAAGTCAAGCAGACGTAGCTTGTGTTGTCGGACATATTTATCGATGACTCTCATGGCCTCAGGTGATGGAGACGCCACTGTGGGTGTTGGACTGCGGACGCGTTGTTGCTCCTTTACTTTCGGCTTTGCCACCTGTATGTGAAAGAAGAACACATCTATGTAAGGATATTGTCCTATATGCAGTATATGGTGAATGAAAGAACCTTCTTGCATGACGGTTGTACCTGGTACAATGTATGGCAACAATGAGAATGTGATCAATACTGTAGGTGTATTCTAAGAAACTATTAGTACAAAAATATGGATGTAAACGGCGTATTGATCGATGCCCAATATTTATGAAGGTCAATGGAAAATGATGGTGTGTCTACCAGGCCAGGCTACCAAGCTACCCCCTACCTCAACCCCAGGGGTATGAACAGGGGTTTCTTACAATGTGTACAGTCTGTCCTGCCTTAGGTTTTCTGAATATTTTTTTTTAAACTAAAACTTGTCAGGCTTGCAGTGTTTCAGCCAGCCTGATTTTTTTTCTGTCATCTCAAAGTTACATCTTGTAAAGCAACAATCCTAGGGAGTTGGACCATACTCCCCCAACAAAAGTTTGAAATCCTGACCCTCTGAAATGCTATTTCCTGCATTCTGAGGGTCAAATTTTTCTTGGTGACATGTCTTTCCACATCTGTACACACCAATTTTTGTCTGTCAAAAATGACAGATTGAGGAACTTGAGCTAGCTGCAATGAGGCCAAAAATTCCTTCAAAAGGAAAGATGGATGCTGGCTAGAACACTGTATGGGTGCCCTGTTTGTACCTGTATCTCTTCTGCCTCCTGTGCCTGTATTTGCTGCCTCTGTCTGTCTGACACCTTCAGCTGTCCCAGCACACGACTCTCCAGACCAGTCCTATCCGGTTTCCTGGCCAGCCACGACTGGTTCAGCCCTAACTTGTTCAGATCTTGCCTCAGAGTTTGGCGCTTGGCCACCCACTCTTTGCACTCTTGCTCCCTGATGTACAGCTCTTTCTGAATCTCTTTCACCTCTTCCTCCAGAGTTTTGGTAGGTGGGGGAGGGGGGTTCAAGCTGGCATGGAACGGCTGCTTGAGTTCTCGAACACCATCGTCTGCGGTGCTCATAGGTGGGGCTATTATAACTCTCCTCCTTGAAACAGGTGCTCCAAACGACTTGGAGGCTACCCGGTAGTAAAGATTTGGAAACAATTGCCTCTGCTTGTAGTGCTTGAGTTGCTCTTCTATGGGAAGGTAGGCCAAGTCGTTTGGATCGAACAACCACGCGAAGCCGAAATCGGAGAACTCCGGATCAAGATCTGCTGTCAAGGCCATGATGGTTGAACTTGCTGTTCTCTGTCTGTACCCGTTGGTTGTTATGTGTGAGGGACTGCAGCTTTCTGCTGCCAGAATCCTAGTTCTGTAATGACATGACATAACATTAGTTAGGATTGAACATTTGCTCCCTACAGTATGCAATAAGGTTATGGTAACATTTTTTTATATATATTTCAGAAGTTAAAGCTAATTGAAAAAAAAAAAACGATTGGTTGGCTCTCTTCGGGGCTGCTGGAGCTCTTCGCCGCCCACTCAACTAGTTAGGTAACGTTATATACCGTTACGAGTTTTGCACGGTAGGAGTTCAATTATCGAGGTAAAGTTACATGTATGATGTATAATTTATAAACTCCTGCGGTGCAAAACTCAGTACCGTACGGGTAGTTCAGTCCGGCGGCGAAGAGCCCCTGCAGCCCCGAAGAGAGCCGGCCCGAACCACGATAGACTAGACACCAGGCTATAATGACACAGTGTATAACACGCATGATCATGAATTAACTTGAAGCGAAAGGATGGGCGAACGAAACTAACATAACAGTCTGTTACTAACTTTGTTAATAAACAAATTATTTGACAAAATCTAAGGTTACAAACCAGATGCATGAATGTTAACGATGAGTACAAGCTCCTTTGCTGGAGCCGACCAGAAATGCTTCATTCAAACTAGCTGATATCATATTTGGAGTTGGTCACCGTAACAGCTGACTTTTGACAGCAAGACGCCATCTTTGGCGCTGATGTTTACATATGGTTGTCATGGCACACTTAGAATGCTGGGAAATGGGCACGTCCATTTTAGATCGGGGGTGTCTAGCTGTTTCGCGCCATTTCTAGGTCAAATGTCAAAGCAATCAGCTGAGCTGTACGCGTACGTGTGTAAGGATGTGACCTAACATTCCCGGATCCCGAGTGCCTCATGTGATCGTCACTTTATGACTTTTCTTCAGGGCGTTTTGCCAACTTACGGGCGTTTAGAACATCAACGAGGAAATGTCTCACGTAGCCGCGTGTCTGGTTTGCCTGTCAGTGGTCCTTACCGGCGGTACAGGCCTGCTGACCCCCAGGTTTCCAAGGCCGAAAGGTCCTGTCCTGAGATCGGAGTACAGCTATGATACCAAATACTTTACACAGCCGGTAAGATGTATACTATTTATCTATATACTAAATGCGTAATCTACATGTAATGTGTATCACTCCTGTTTAACTGCTAGTTTACACTTACATGCAAAGGGCAGTTTGTGTCTAATTGATATGATGGGTGTGAACAGGGGTGGGGAAACGATTACCACCCTGCTGAGAAGGCAGGGGAGTGATTATCTCACACTGTTGATAAGAGAACAGGGGGGAGGGGAAATGGTTACCACCCTGCTGTGAAAGCAGGGGAATGATGATAAGAGAACAGGGGGAGGGGGAGTGATTATCACCCTGCTGAGAAAGCTGTCACAAATTAACAGGCCCGAGCCACCAAAGAGCTAACGTTACATAAAGCAGATTTGAGCAGAGGGAAGTTCTTCTTCTTCTTCTTCTTGTATACTCTCTAACAACCCCTACTGGGGATCACCTGAGGTGGGGGGGGGGGGGGGGTTGCGACGGACTATGGCTGCACGGCCAGGAGTCCGGCCTTAAAGGCCTCCACTGTCTGGGCTTTTACTAACTGTCCCGGCAGCTTATTCCACTCATTTATTGTTCTTGGAAAATAAAAAGAAAATCTAAAACAGTCTGTTTTGGCAGATATTGCTTGATATTATATTCATGACTTGGAAGTAAAAGACTTACTGCACCTGTGGGTAAACATTAAAGAAAAGGTGTTTAGGAGAAGTTACTTATAATGGGTATGTTGGCCCTGGAGCCAAGGAACTGGCCTGTGTAGGCCCTGGAAACAGTCTGGCACTCAGGCTATATAGTTAGCCATGTGAGTTATATAAAAGAAAGATGACGCATTTTTAGTACTAGTATGACGTTATATCTTACGGTTCCGGCTGTGTGAAGTACTAGTATTTGGTATCTGTACTGGTTAACCCTGGAAACAGTCTGGCACCCAGGCTATACCAGTACATGTATGTATAAAGTTAGTTGTGTCAGTAGTCGAAGTTAAATCTCAGGTACTTCTGCTGAACAGGTGGATCACTTCAGCTTTGCCACTTCAGACACCTTTGATCAACGTTACCTCATCAATAGGAAATACTTTGAAGGTGACGGAGGACCTATCTTCTTCTACACTGGGAACGAAGGGGACATCACATGGTTTGGTGACAACACAGTAAGTGGAGAATGGATGGATGAATGAATGAATGAATGAATGAAGGATGGATGGATGGATGGATGGATGGATGGATGGATGGATGGATGGATGGAAGGATGGATGGATGGATGGATGGATGGATGGATGGATGGATGGATGGATGAATGAATGAAGATGTCTTTGTCTTTTATATACATATGTATCTACATTTATATGTACATGTATGTATTTTATCTCAAGAAGCTCTCCCAGGATGGAGGAATAAACAAAGGAAAGTGAAAAGGAATGAATGAATGAATAATTCCCTCTTTGCTATACAATCTACCTTCTGATAATGATATTCTAGAGAATAACCTTTGTCACTTAAGAATGAAATATTGTGAGATTTTAGAAGATTATTTTCTGTGATGTTTCTGAGTCCTAGAGTCACTTTGACATGGCATGTCATCCTACCTGTTCATTCCAGGGCTTTATGTGGGACATTGCACCAAAATTCAAGGCTATGGTGGTTTTTGCAGAACATCGCTACTATGGAGATTCAATGCCATATGGAAAAGATTCCTACAAGGTAATGAGACTTTCAATATAATATTCTGCAGTTTTTATCTGTAATGACCTGTAGTCCAGTTCATATGAGGAGTTCTCAGATGACATACACTTACATGTACAAGTAAGTTGTTCATGAAACTTTTTCTACTGAACATGTGGATCACTTCTGATAATCAGTTTTTGATCAGTGTTACTTAATGAAACAGAGTCAGGCATCATTATTCCTGGGTTTACGGAAAGGCTAGCCTATGTCCCAGTCCTGGCTATCTGTCCTGTCTACTTTGGCTGGCTAACACCTCAGGCAAATCAGATACATTTGTCCCCATTCATGTCCTCGAAAATTATAAGACACCTAAGCAGCTGCGCCCTTTAATGGAATGTACAAATGTATTAAGATTACATCCATTACACTGGTTATGGCATAGCATATAGTGTATCGACAAGAATTCTACAAGAAAAGTAGAAATAAACAGGATATTTGTTCACTTCTTTGAATTCCTTTAAACAAGGACCCTCGGCACCTTGGTTACCTGACGGCAGAGCAGGCTCTGGCAGACTTCGCCCGTCTCATCACACACCTGAAGTCCAGCATCCCCGGTGCCGCGGACAGTCCCGTGGTGGCCTTCGGGGGGTCGTACGGAGGGATGCTCGCGGCCTGGTTCCGGATGAAGTATCCCAGCTCCGTCATCGGGTATCAGACCTCTCTTTGGTTACAAGTGGTCATTAAACTACATAAAGCATTTTGTACATTTTTTTTTACACATCAATGAGGTGCAGTGTACAGTGAATAGGTACATGTATAGTCAATAGTGCAAGTATCCTGAATTGCTCAAGCTCAGATAGGTACAAGAACAATGTAACAGTCTGCTTTATTGAAGAAGGCTATTGTTTTCTAAGGTGGTAAGAAAAAGCCATCTGCTTAGCTTTAAGGCCACACTGATTTTTTTACTCCGTGAAGGAGGTCAGGACCTCCGGACGGAGTGTTGTGATCGGCTGATTTTTCGTGTTCGCAGTCAAAACACTGGGTTCTCTTTGTGTAATCGGCACGCAATTTTATACGCTGTCTGCGGGCATGCCCGTGTTGATGCACGAATGTGTATTTTTGCCGTTGCTGCTTTCGCGGTCAATGTAATATTGCAGACGCACCCCTACAATTACGAGGCGAATTGGAATGGTCCAGAAAAACGCGTTGTTTGGAATAGCAGTGGGGGGGTGGAACTTCATGCAGATACGGGGTGGTTTTGATAAGTGGTTCCAGATGTTTTTGCCCATGCTTAAGAGATGCCAAGTTTTTTGGAAGATGTTCGCAGCCAAAACGCATTCTTCCGTACGTCGCATTTCTGTGTAATTTCGCATGTGGTGTGGCATTATGTCCGGGATGATGCACGTCTTTTTATTTTTACTGTAGCTGTTTTGATATTGAAGTAAATGCATATTTTAGAAACATCCCTACTTTTACAATCCTGTGGAATAGGCCGTAGGTTTAGGCAGTTGTCTGGTAGCAGAGGTACTCTAAGCAGATATCCTGGTTATCTGGCCGGCGGTAGTAACACTCGCGGTGCTTACCGCAACTGTTGATGGAATTTGGCCTGTTCCAGGCGCGCTTAATTAGGTACAGGCACGGTAAGACGGTGGGGCTGTCTTTGTTACTAGACACGACCATGATAGTCCGATCTTTATGTGAATGCAATGATTGTGTGTGTGTAATTAAAATGAACTTCGAACTTGAAGCACAGTATCTTTACACGCCCTGGGAGCAGTAATGGATTTAGCTCTTTGTATGTTTTATGCTTGTGACGCGCCCTCATTGTATTAACCGTTGCCTAATTATAATGTCTGCACAGTAGGTCTGGCGTTGACGCTTGGGATTTTGTTGAAATATATAAAAATTCACGGAGGATTGTCGCCTATGGCTTCTTGTTTTATTTTATGGATGACACCCACACGCTCATTGATTTACGCCTGTTCTAGAAAAAAATTACGTCTGAGGAGGCTCTCCTCTGTAGTCCATGGTAGCTAGCAATAGGGAGCCAGCGGTAACTACAGAGGATGGCACCCAGGCTACCAAAGCTCCACAGAAATCTAAAACTCAGTACGGTGCTGCAAAAGGCCAGCATGTGCTGGCTTGTCGTAAAAGTCACAATACCAGCTTTTGTATTCCTGTGGTTTAGCAGCATTTTTTTTGGCTGGAAATTTTTTTTTTTTTTGCCCACGTGCACTAGTTTGGGGGTCTTCAGAGGATGTCATCCATGAATTAAGTCAGTGTGGCTTTATGTATAACACTGTCGGAGGTTGTTTTGTTGTTTGTTTGTTTGTTGGTAGGTCTCTGGCTGCCTCGGCTCCGGTGTGGCAGTTTGAAGGTCTGACACCATGTGGGAGTCAGTACTCCATCATCACACAAGACTTCCAGAAGGGCAGCCCTGGCTGTGACACACGCATCCGCAAGTCCTGGGACCTCCTCAATCAGATAGGACAAACAGGTCGGGACTACTTTAAATCTTAAAGATACAAGTATCCAATGCACCATCAGGGGGTCAAAACAAAAAGATATCTGCATGAGGAAATCTGTCTGATATTGACACTAATAAGACATCTAACACCCAAATATCTCGACCATAACTTGTTCAGAACTCGAGATATTCTCTTGGAAAAATTCTAACAAACTTATGTCTCTTTTTCTAGAGCAAAAGAGCAATCTAACACCCAAAAATCTGGACCACAACGTGTTCAGAACACGAGATACGAGATCCGGAACTTCCGCTAAAGTACCAAGGGAAGCCACTAGGGGGCCCAAAATCTAATCATTTCCAGTTTTCGTCACACCCTATCAAAAGCACCAAGTATGAAATCAATCCATCCAGCCATTCTTGAGTTATCTTATTGATCAACAGACAGAATGACAGACACAACTGAAAATAGAATCTTCTTGGCAAAGGTAATAATGATAGTAATTATTCCCTTCTCAGCTGCTGGTAGAGAGAAGTTGTCCTCTATGTTCTCTCTGTGTTCTCCACTCAACACAACGAAAGACGTTACTGTGACCATGACCCAATGGCTTCTCAACACATGGTTCAACCTCGCCATGGTGGACTATCCTTACCCTGCCAGCTTCCTGGAACCCCTACCTGCCTGGCCAATCAAGGTGGGCCTTACAAGTTGGTACTGTAAATCACTTTGTATTCGCTGCTTGGCCAATCAAGGTGGGCCTTACAAGTTGGTACTGTAAATCACTTTGTATTTGCTGCCTGGCCAATCAAGGTGGGCCTTACAAGTTGGTACTGTAAGTCTGTAAATCACTTTGTATTCACTGCTTGGCCAATCAAGCTGGGCCTTACAAGTTGGTACTGTAAATCACTTTGTATTTGGGGTAGCAAAATTTTTTGGTCTGAGAAAAATGGACATGTTTGCAGAACTATATGTTCGTGGTGGTGGCAGTTGCAGAAGAAAGAAAGTTGGCAAATTATTTATTTGCAGTTATGATAAATTTGCGATACAGAAGTGACCATAAAAACGCAAAACAAAAGTATATGTACCACGAATATAAAGTGATTTACAGTATTGTTGAGCATGGTACTGTACCGTGATTAAGCATGTCGGCAGAACGTACTGCGCCTTTTGCAAAACTCGGATTTTCATGGTTTCCGCTAGATGTTTGGTCAGCGTTGCATCAAAATTTTCCTTTGTTTCTCATTTGGGGTGATTGAGACGGAGGAACAAAATTTTGGACTGGCTAGAAAACTGGTGGAGGGTGAACAAATTTTCCCTTGCAGTAGGTATGGTTTAACATAGTCCTTTTCACAGGAAGTGTGTTCACTCATCACTAAATCATTGGATGTGCTGGAGGGTATAGCTGCTGGTGCTACACTGTACTACAACTACACAGGCCAGGCCACCTGCCTTAACATTCAGGAGAGCGCAGTTAGCAGTCTGGGGGACCTTGGCTGGAGCTTCCAGGTAGGGCTATGGATAATATGAAGTTATCATTAAGTTACTATGTTTGTGAAAGTGTTGCTTTTTTTGCAGATGAAAAGAAACAGGGCAGAAAAGCCATTTTTCAATATTTAGATAATATACATGTAGAAAACATTATGAAAATTTTTGCTTGGCACTTGCATGGAGGTAGATTTAGGTCATACACCAATAGACCTCATTCTAGATACATGATTTTATTCAAATGAAAAAATGAAAAATTCTCGCGAGAGCGCATCCTTGGCGTGAGCGCGCGTGACCTCGCACGAAAACGAGACCGCAGTTGCGGTCAGGTTTCCCATGACGCGGCCTAACAATGGAGTCTTCCACAGTCGATAGCGATACTCCAACTTCAACGGTGAGTTTTGCCCGTCCAGTGTAAAATTGCCGGAATTACTGCTTTCACGGGTAGATAATGTTGTTGTGGGCAAGTTGGATCGATTTCGGCGGGTAGAAATGCATTTTTCGAAGTTAGCTGCGTACGTAGAATGTAAACAAAGTGCATCACCGTCCGAAACTGCTAAAAATTGGAAGAAACATGCATTTCTACCCGCCGAAATCGATCCCACATGCCCACAACAACATTCTCTACCCGTGAAAGCAGTAATTCCGACAATATTTTACACTGGACGGGCAAAACTCACCGTTGAAGTTGGAGCATCGCTATCGACTGTGTTAGAACGTACTACAGGGAATCCGCGACCACACGGAAGCCTCGCTTTCGTGCGAGGTCACGCGCGCTCACGCCAAGGATGTGCTCTCGCGAGAATAGAATCAATATGGCGACTGTATCTGGAATGAGGTCTATTTTTGGTGGCTGATAGCTTTTCATGTCAGGAACTTGTGGTGTGGGTTTGGTCCTGCTAGCAACTTGGTTTGGAACTACATGTACATGGTAGTTTCAGGCGAAATCTTTACAAGTGGATAAACTCATGAAAGGAATGAAGAGTTTTCATGAATTTTAGCACATTGGTAGCTTAAGGTTCTGAAATACATGTCTCCAGATATTTTCATGTAGGTATGAGGTCTCAAAATTTTTGTTTAATATGTTTACCGTCACAGAAGGAAAATATATGTTTTTGTTTTTGCTCCGTTTCTTCTCCATATTCCTCTTCTTCCATTTCAAACAAATAAAGTCAATGACCTGAACCAGACATCTGTCACTATGGTAACTGGTGCTGTAGCAGACACCCTGTGGTGTTTGGTTACATTATGTAGCAGGACAGAGCTGGAGGGGCTGCTCCACATGTTAGCTTCTTGATATTATACAATGTATATGAATGTGTTTTAGTAAGAATGAACAGAGCAGTAGTTTGACTAGACCTATGCAAATGTTACCTTTATGGTTAATTTTGTTTCTATCTTTTTTTCAGTTTTGCTCTGAGATGACCATGCCTTCCTGTAGCGATGGTGTCCATGACATGTTTTTCCCTGAGCCGTGGAACCTGACTGCGTACATGGCCCAGTGCAAGTCTGCGTGGAAGGTGACACCCAGGCCGTACTGGATCCTCCAACAGTTCGGTGGCAAAAATATCACTGCTGCTAGCAACATCATATTCAGGTCTGTTTGACTTCTTACTTAAGAACTTCAAATTGAATGTAGAGTCAAACTTGCCCAAGCGACCACCGGACATCTGGCTGCTTTTTCTTGGTCTGAATAAAGCATAAGGGACTTGCCTAAGCCGACCAAAATTTAAAACACTTCAAGTATGAAATGATGACAAAAATGTGCTAAGAAATGGCAGTAAATGTCAATATCAGATTTCCTCATCCAGAATTTTTTTTTGTTTTGCCACTCTGAAAGTGCATTCATTTTGATGCCTTTATTTAAAGAAGTCAACATTACTGGGAAATGTCATTACCTTTGCCGAGAAGGTTATGTTTTCAGTAGTGTTTGTCCGTTTGTCTGTGAACAGCATAAATCAAGAAGGTATGAATGGAATCTAATGATATTTGGTGTGTGGATAGAATGGCCCCAAATATATGGAAATGGTAAGATTTTGGGCCCCCTGGCAGCTTTCCTTGATACTGCAGCAGAACTTTCAGGTTTGATATCTCACGATCTAGACATGTTAGGGTCACGACTTTTGCATGAAAGATAGCTCTTGTGCTCGAGAAGAAGTGTCACTAGTTTAGTCCTCCTGGCATCTTGTCTCGGAACTGCAGGAGCATTTTTCTTGTTGACATTGTTGTCACTGTTCTAACATTCCTTCCCCCAGTAATGGCCTGTTGGACCCGTGGTCAGCCGGAGGAGTGACCGAGTCTCTCTCAGACTCCCTGGTGGCCATCACGATCGCAGACGGCGCCCACCACTTGGACCTGCGCTCCTCCAACCCAGCTGACCCGCAGTCTGTCATAGAGGCCAGGGAGCAGGAAGTTGAGATTATCAGGGAGTGGCTACAACAGTACTACTCAGGGTTATAGCTGACTCCCTCAATTTCGGAAGAGTACCATTAATTCACCAAACTGAATCTTCTGGGAAGCAAAATTTCACGGTCTGAGGAAAATGTTCAGGGCATGTTCGCATCCAGTGCAGTTTTTAGGAATTGAAAACCAGACATTTCAAAGCCAATATTCTAGTCATTTAATCTACATACTGAGTTGACAGCACACTATCCCAATGTATATTGACCCTCATGGAGCAAAAATTCCCAAAATTTTGATGGAAAATGGGTACTGGAAGGGCCCTGGGCTGATTTTTAGGGAACCACCCAGAAAATAAAGGAATCATCTTGGGGCTTGTTTCTGCAATTTTAACAGGCTCATTTTAAATGCCCAAAGTATGAAATGCTGATTTCAATGTGCTAATGTGTCAATATCATCAAGATTACATTATTTCCAGTTTTGCTGCCCTGAAATCGCATTGGATGCCTTTTAAGGCTTTAATCTTTACGGTGGCAGGAGATTGGGATGGGGAAGAAAGACATAAGTAATGATACGTTCACGGTACAAAAGTGACCTTGAAAACAGTAAAGTACTGTGAAAAAATTAAGAATTACTTACTAGTTAGTACTTAAGCACAGGTGTGTCAAGCAATTTATATGTTTTAAAAACACAATATTTTAAGTGTGGAAAGAGATGATCAAGCACTCTAAACAAATTTCAAATCAATGCAGGGTCTTTTTATATATATATGTTATATGCTACATAATATTATTCTATTATGATCTATAGTTTTTAAGCACAAGGAGCTGCACAAAAAGTGAGCTTACTGGGCTATTTAAGTTCTGTATGAAATAAAGTGACTACACAGTAAATAAGAAATGCAAGTTATGTGGTAAATATTTAAAGCTATGCCTTGAAGTCAAGCCTTACAAAGTCTGACAGATTGAGTGCAAAGTTTATTTTCAATTTTCATGAATATCAATAATTGTACTATTGTAGTTCTTTCTGAATAGGTTGAATGTGAGTGTATGATAAAGACAAACAGTTTACTCATGTTTTCACTACTCACTACCAGAAGGCACATTGAGTTGAGTATTGCTAAATACACTGTATATCAGTACAGTATTTTTTCTGGCTAAATAGTTTACAAAGCAGTCAATTCCTAAAGTCATAATCATGGCATTGCATGAGGAAAGCATCCATTTCATTAAAACATCATTATAGTGGGCCACACAGACAAGAACACCATCAATCAGTTACTGTCATATAGGCTAAAATCAAATATCTTCACACTATAGTTTTCAGTAGCCTGCTGTATAGGTACAAGTATGTATCAATAGGAAATACACCTATTGGGCTATAATCAATGACAGACTATCACAATGATCATAAACAAGGAAATAATCTCAAAGACATGTTCAAAATTTTTCTACATAATTTTGTCAACAGCATTACAGTACATTTGAAAATGATAAAGTATGCAGAAATATTCAGTTCTCATCTTACTTTAAAGCCTTCACTCAATACAGTTATAGCTTTATCAATCTTCCTTTTCTTTGCAGCATTGCTTTACTTTGAATTTCTAACATAAAAACAATGAAAAATGAATTACTACACACCAAAACTAGTAATCTCTTAAATCTTGGTACACAAGTACTATGGAATGGGTACAATCACTGTGATATTAACACTATCTCTTACCAAATCTTTACTGTGCAGGATTCATCTTCATTCATAATCATAAACTTTTATTGAGAGATAATCAAAAATCATAACTGTCTCATTTATTCTTGTAAGTCTAATAAATTTCACCCTATTCCTAATTTATCTGGAATGGTTGCAGTCAACAAAAAATTCATAAACAAAATACTGGAACTACTACAAATCTTTAAGTAGATAATCACAATAAATGCATACGAAAATATAATTCATAATCTCAGATATATTCTACAAATTTCAGTATATGAGCTTATAGCCTAAACTTGCACCAAACAAAATTCACCTTCGAATTACTATACACTGGAAAATATTCACAATCACAAGTAATAGTATTTAAAAAAAAAAAGAATTATATCATAAACCATCTAAAAACATTTAGTCATCTACCTCCTTTACACATATTTCAAAAAGATTCTTGTATTTTTTCAAAATGCATCAAGGTACATTGTGTACATTTTAAAGAATGGCCACTGTGCTGAACATTTTCATATACTTTGGTCCCTTCCATTCAGTTTACTGAATTAAGCTCTAGGATTTAACAAAACGTGTGCAACTTAGATGACAAAACTTTGCTATCATGCAAGTTCATCTGTGTTGGTAGTAATCAAAGCACATGTATAATGCTGAACTTTATTCCAACACAAAGAGTACACAAAGATCCTTTAGAAACAGATTCATTGAACCATTTTGCTGGACAGAATACTGGACAATGAAAAGGACTATATATAGGACTATATATCAGGGCACTCCAGCCATGACTAAACAGAGACGGTGGACTATATTAACTCCCTAGTACGTTTGATCAATTGCTGACATCACATATATCCGTAAAATCTTCTGTGAATAAGGTCACGTGTCCGTAACTCTCATGGGTTTACGTTTGAATGTGATTGGTCATTAATTGGTCATAAAATAAAAATTTGGCGTTCAAAATTTGATCCTGGTTACTGTTAGTTTAAGTCCGCTCCCACAGTCGCTACCGGTTGGTCAGTAGTGACTTATACCCTTTGCCAAAGTTTGTGTTGGAATAAAGTTTAGCATCATACATTGTGTACGTTACTAAAAAGCTTTGCTGTAGAACATGTAGCAACTCCCTTGTAGTAGCATAGATGCAGTTACATGTAAGTACAGCATTCTGAGACTCAGTCCATGTCCACATGTTCTTGTTTGTGTCTGGCTCCCCAGTCCTCAACTGCAATCAAGGGTAAATACTATGTCAATGCAAGTACTCATTTCTGAACTGGTTTCCTCATCATTCCTGATTATATAATATACATAATATTATATCAAGTATTTTGGGGTACCAGGGGTATACCTTAAAAATTAATATTAGGTTGATTTGATTATATATGGATGACAACAGTGCGTGCATGAATTTTCATCCTTTTCAAAAAAAAAGTTACCGACCATACTGTAAATCAAACAAAGCAGAAAGAGCGATTCTCTGCCATAAAAAAAATATTGGAAAACAATACTAATGTGACAGTTGTACAATGCCAAAATCCATTCCAAAGGAAAAGAAGAAAATGTGAAGAAAAGAAAATGAATTATTTGCCATACTACACTCTGTGTGTTTAGTTATTTGCTCAACCTTCATGACCACATAGATTTCATAATGAAGGCAACTTTTTTTTTCCAACTTTTTTTTATTAATTTTCATTATAATCAAATCAACATGGATTTTTGTAGAATATACACTTATTATGTTGCAAATGTGTAGTGGCCTAATATTTAGCATGTGCACACCATCATCCTTCCATCACCAGAAAAATCATACAGGAAAATGGACTTGCTACATGTACTTCGATACCATGTAGGATTGACTCACTTTGACAATCCCGTCCACAGTAGAAGCGTGGATACTTGCTGTGCTTCTCTTTGCACCTGAAGAAAAGTCAATGACCATGTTTTACAGCAACATTCAAGTTAATTACTAGATGAAATAACTTCCAATTATCATGCTACTCATTCTTATTCCTATCACCTACCATATTTCTGTCATTTGATGTAATTTTGCCACTCATGACAGACAAAAATTTTGCCCAATCAGTCATCTTTTACAGACCAAAATTGTTATCAAAGCTTTGTTGAAGAGCAAAATTTGCCCCTTAAAAATGCAGGCAATAGAGTTTCCATTTCATACCTCAATAGGATATCTTGCTCTTACCTCTGGCATGTTTTGAAGGTTCTGGGTTGGGGTTCTATCTGACCACAGTTGGAACAGCTGCGAAGCTTCCCTGTCTTCTTCCCTGTCTTCTTGTCTTCGATGGCCGGCGGTCTTAACGCGGTCGGCCGGCTGGCCTGTCCCATGCGGTTCTTCTTGGAGAGATAGTCGATGACGAGTTCATCGTTGAGTTGAAGGGTTCCGTTTAATGTGATCTCGTCAAACTCTTCATGAGTCAGGTCCCACTTCTCCTGGCAGGCCTACACACAAAATGCATTTCTTAATCCTTCATGCATCGTGCTATAAGATTGTACAACAACCTACCTAGTGGATCGTGAACTACTGGTCTCGCAAAACTATCCACTACATATAGAATACAACACAGGGAATTCTGTATCGCCCGAGGTACCAACCCGACCGTGAGTCAGATTGCTTGGACGAGGGTGATATAACCTTCACCGACTTCACTTAACTCATTTTACAGTGAAGTGAGGAAAGTCGTGTTAATTGCCTTTCCCAAGGGCAAAACGTCGGACATTTGAGGGATCAAACTCGGAACCTCTTGGTTCTGAGCCGAATGCACTGACTATTACGCAATTGTAATGAAACATCTTCTTTAGTAATTTATAACTACCTGTGTTGCACATGTTGTACTCATACCTGCATTTCCCGTATCTTGTTCATTGTCTCGTTGACCCTCAACATGCCCATACGGTCCTGTTTGTCCGGGTTGTCTGGGTTCTGTGGGATGTACATGCCGATCAGGGCACAGCCGTTACCCTCGATGTAGTCCTGTACAACTGCCTGCTTTCCTACAGAGAAATCCAAAACATATAACATTCATCTAGTGTTCGAAAGACCCATTTTGTCTAATTCGCATCATCCTTGTCTTGACTTTTCCAACTCCTTTTGGACTTCCAAAAAATTTGCAAAAAAATTGCACTTATTTACAAATCTATCAATTATTGTTTCTTGCTTATAAACCTGCCTTGCTGCATGTCTCTAGTGTCACTAACGAAAGGTGGTGGATTTCACAAATTCGTACCACCTGACTGAGGTGGCAAATTCTCATTATGATTTTTTAAAAGTAGGGTGTCTGCAGAATATATTTTGATATGATAGATTGATAGTCATTGCAGATTGGTAGCTTTGACCTTGTTATCTGACCTTGAACTTTGACCATATAGACCACATCCTTCGTCACTTATAATGCATTCATAATGCTTATAATCATATATGGAAATTTTCGATTTAACTTGATGGAATGAGTGAATAAATACAACATGTATTTGCTTTTAATTGGATCTAGAGGGTTGGGATGAAAATTCTACAAACCTTTAAGTATAGGAGCAAACATTCCGCTTTTGATCTTTTCCACAGCATCTGCCCCCAAACCTTTGGTTGGTTGACTGGAGGCTGGTTTCTTCTCTGTTGCACCACCTTTTGGCTTTGCCTTTGCCCCTTCCTGTGTATCTGTAGGTTTGCTGGATTTTGTAGACTTTTCTTTGGGTTTCTTTGTTGGACTATCAGTGGCTGTAAGAAAAAATATATTCACTGTTTATGTAATGCCCTCATGTAATTGCCCATGTAATGGTAAAAGAAAACTATTGTCTAGAAAGTTTATCTTGTACTTAACAAGCAACTTAGAGGTCTTGTTGTCAAATAATGATACATGTATTAACATTTAGGCCTAGATAAAAAATGTAGTGTTTCCAAATCTAGAAAAGAAGTGAATCCCTACCTACTGTCCCTATTTTTTTCAGGACCGTAATAAGTAACAACAATTTTCATAGGCCTTTTTGTCATACAAACACTGACCTCTGACCCGAATTCCGTCGTCATCTCCAGTCACTCGTATCCCATCATCTTTCAATTCTTTGCTTTTCTTTTTCATTTCGGCGATTTTTTTCCTCTCCTCAAGTCCAGCAGCTTCCCTCCTGCAGGCCGCCTCCAGCTCACTGATTTTCTTTCTGATCTGTTCTTTCTTCTCTGCCTCTCTTTTTTCTGCCTCCTTCCTTTCTGCCTCCATTTTCTCTGCTTCCTTTCTCTCCGCTTCCTTTTTCTCGGCCTCCGTGTTGATTGGTTTATTCAGTACTTTGATGCGTTTTGCAGCTTCGCTTGCGAGTGGAATGCCGGGGGTACCAGGCGGATGGTACACGTTGATGATTCTGTCACCTGGAGACAAGAGTTGTCCGTCAAACATGATCGGATTCTCGACCGTGCTCGTGTGGACGTATTTGGAGATGTCGATATTCTGGAGGTCATCTTCTTCCACGGTTGGGCTTCGTTCTGGAGGGATCCCCGCCATGAGCGCTATCTGCTCGGCAACCGCCTTCGCTCGCCGTTCCAACATCTCGTCTTCGCTATCCTCCAAAGATTCTAACGGCTCCTCCTCTCCGTCTGGCTTAATCTCTACCAGAGCAGCCCCGCACCTTCCTTCCGCAGCCGCTGTTCCGATCTCTCCCATCTGACGGAGCCTATCTTCATCCAGGATGACTATGACTGACGCTTCGTCGCTTTCCTTCCCTGTTTCTTCAGATTTGGGGTTGGGAGATGTTGGTTTTGCCTCGGTGGAATGCATTGCTCGAGCGTCAGCCACTTCTTGAACCGATGAATGAAATGGCTTGATAGGTACCAGAGATGGCTTGGTGTTAGAGGGAAAAGTTGTCTGAGTTGTAGTTGACCGTACGTCTGTCGTCTGTGTAGACGAGGATGGCATTGCTCCCACTTCGCTCTCATCTGCCATCTTCAGGAGGTGAGCAGGTGGAGGGACCGGCGGCCCAGGAGCAGCCCAGGGGTTGTTCTTGTCAGGCTGGAACTTGCACAGCTCGGAGAGTTTCTTGGCCATGTCTTCTTTGCTGATGTCGAACATCTCTTCTGGTGTTTTCTCCTTGAGTTTCTCCGACTCGGAGGCTGCCTTACGAAGGTCACTGGCCCAGTGACAGTCCTGGAGAAAAACATTAAATTTACATCAGAACTCCAAATATACATGTAGTCTAGTGGTAGAAATCCTTTTTTTTTTACAGTCTTTCAGTCAAAAGTTTGTTCTGCAACAGGGTTGGACTAGTCCCATTTCCCAGGGCAAGTAAAAGTACTGTTTGGGCAAGTACATGTGCCTCTATACTTGCCCGATTGGGCAAGTAAATTTTTAAAATAGATTTTAAAGTATAGCCACTAAAGTATTTGGAGCAAGTCAAACCACCTAAAGCATCCAACATCATCAGCTCCAAAACAATTTCCTTGTTGGTAGTAAAAATGCAGAGAAATAATGTATATTTTGGGCAAGTGAAAAGTTGGTTCGGGCAACTGGAAATGAGGGCAAATGGATTTTTGAAAACTTGTCCAACCCTGCTGCAATGCAGAAATACACAATCAAGTCCGAACCTAAGCCCATGGCATATTCAAAATTTTATGTTGGCATACTAACCAAAACTTGTGGCATGTCCTTGCAGGCATGTTTCCGGCGCAGTCTCTCCCTGATTTGCTCCTTTCGTTCGCGTGGGTCGTGACTCAGACGTTCTTTGGGAGGTTTTGTATACATGTTATGCAGAACTGGAACAATGTACATTGAAGATTCATCGATGAAGGTTAGACATCCAGGTAATGAGATACACAAGGCAAGCAACTGGGTAGCTTTTGAAAATCTTTACTAGTAGACGTTTCAAGTAGCATCCACTAAAATGTATTTTCCATCAGTGACTATAAAAAAAACTATCCATAGTTTTTGCATAAATACCTGTTCAACTACAGATTCCATTAGTCACTGACAAAAAGTAGTGGATGCTAGTGATTTGAAATGTCTGTGACAGTTTTCAAAATACAATGTAAGTTGCTTGAGTAACAATTTCCTCAGGTAAATTGGGCAACTTTTTTTGCCTAACTTTTTTTTATTTGCACGCTCGTATCAATTTTGGGTTTCCAGAGGATGTCACCCATATAAGTAAATCAACATGGCCTTGCAATCATTTTCTTAAAAATGAACTTTCAGACTTCAAATTTGAAAAGACATTAAAAAAAGTTGAATTCCGGAATAACGCAATACTCCAGTGACTGTATGAGAATACCCTCACCTTCCTCAAAAGCAGCTTTTGTTTTCTCGGGAGTGATCTGGTCCCTGACTTCGCGGTCAAAGGTCACGGTCACGTTGACCGTAGCGGAGGTGCGCTCGCCTCGCTTCTCTGCCTCCGCCAGCTTCTTCTTCCCTTCCTCACACCCACTCACTGATATCTGGGGTCAAGACAGAAACAATGCACAATCTAAGCTCCAATGCAATTTTAGGAAAGCAAAAACATATTCTAGATTAGCAGATCTGTCTAATATTGACATTTACTACCATTTCTTAGCATATTTTCATCATCATTTCATACTTTTAAAATAGCACTTAAAATAGCCCTGATGAGGTCTTGACGAGAGCTCGAAATGATTAGAATTTGGGCCCCTGGTGGCCTGTTATGGTACTGCAGCAGAACTTCCGGTTTTGTTTGAAATAGGATAAATCAAGAACCAGTTGACAGGTTGTCGTAATTTTTGGTATGTAGGTAGCTTAATTCATACTTGACATAATTAGATAACAAGTATGGGCAATGAGAGTTGTCCTTCTACCTTAATTGGTGGAGACTTGTCCCTTTGTTGTCCTTTCTTAGCCTGCGCTGGCTTGGGAAGACCAAAGGTTTCTTCCAGCTTCTGAACCAGCGGAGAGTCCTCGTTGGCTACGAAAGTGTCCTTCTTGTTGGTCTTGGGTCGAACGGGGCTACCAGGGTTCGAGGACTTTTGCCCAACTGTCGATGAAGCACTTTCAACAGAGCTGGATGCTTCAGCCTCTTTTGCAGCGGCGGCGTGCTTCGCGGCTGATGCTTCTCTCTGCATCCGTTCAACTTCTAAGTTGTTTTTCAGCACTGCAGAGATGATGGCGTCCATCGTAGTGTCTTTGTCGGATTTCGGCACGATGGCAGCGCCCAACATGGGTTTCGGAGTGCTCTCGCTCTTCACCGCTTTACTCTCATTTGCCCCGCTGCTAGCGGAATCACTTGATTCGCTTCTTTTACCTTCGTCGTTTTCCTTTTTCTTCTTCTTCCTCTTCTTCTTCTTGGTACCGCCCGTGGCTTGATCGGTGGCGGTACCGCTTTCATCTATTGTAGTTTTCTGAGCGTCGGGAATAGATTTTATTTTACTAGATTCTCTTGAGTCTCTATCTAAGGATCTTGCTCTTGTTTCCTTGGTGGTTGAGGCTGGTAATAAGTCTGTCCTTTTGTCAGATTTGGGGAGGATCATGTTTGGACCAGGGGGGATGTAGTAGGATTCGTCAGAAGAGTCGATCTCGTCTGCGTCAAGCCAGTGCCTGAGGCATCGACACACCGACCCGCCAAACTTCACATAAAGCGGTATCAGGAAGTACACCTGTGAACATAAATAACCATTAGGACATGTTGATTTAATTACAAATGTATATGGATGACATCTATGGGGCTATGTGGCATAACGGCAGAGCATTCAGCTCAGAACCAAGAGGTCCTGGGTTCGAATCCTGCCTTGTGCAGAGCGCATTATATGTCGCCTATATAATCAAATCAACATGGCCTTAACAATGTTACAATCAGCACGAAGATTTCAAGCCCATACTCTGTTTGGTACAGTTACTTTACATAATAATAATTCCCTTTTGTTTTGTCTTACCTTGACATATGAAGACTTTTCTCCTGGCTGTCCAAACAACCTTCTAAAAACATCTCTTGTGTCCTTGTTGTAAAATGGATCTTTTGCTGAAATTTAAAGTAAAGAGAAGAATTTTGTTAATCCTCATAATTTTTTTTCAGGGTTCAGGGTTGGAAATAATTTTTTCTGCACACCTGCACTGGTGCAGTTAACATTGAAAATTGCCTGCACCAGACAAATTTTATTTGTACCACTCTTTGAGAAGTATAGATCATACTAAAAACTGTTCAGAAACCCGTGATTATTTACATATCTACATGGCTACAGGGAACAGTATCTATCTAGTGAATTACCAACCTGATTAAACTATTCATAGAAGCAAAGCAAGCATAATACAACTTACAAGCACACATACATTGTACAAAATACATGTACTTGCTTACCAAATGACTGGGACTCCAGGTATTGCAGGCTCTGTCGGTTCTGAGCTACTACCACTGTGTCTAGTACCAGGCCTTTAGCTGTGCTGTCTTTTCCTGTAAATACAAAGTATGGTTATCAAGTCCAGTCAAACACTTTTTTGTTTAACTGTTAACATAATCACTATGAATTCACTTTATAATTGTGGGAAAAAAAGACCATTGCAAAAGAACCTCCCCTCAGACTTACCTTCTACAAACTGTTCATGTATGTAGGCGAAGGCCTGGTCAATATACGCTTCATATTTGTCACTCTGGGGAAGGAAGAGGGAACAGACGTTTAGTCATGTAAGTCATAAATTAATGATATAAAAAATTTTTAAATCATAATACAAGAAAAGTTACCACCAGAGACACAGCAGTTCTAAAGTTGTAGAAAAACTGCACATGGCGGCATATAACTCCTTCCACAGCAAAACTGCTTTTTTAGCCCATGTAAAAATCGTTTACCAGTCCTGGCCTAAAAAAAAAAATTAACCCCACCGCCATTCAAGTCTACAAAGGAGGCTAAGAACATACAGCTTTAAATCTGTCACATACTAATACTAGTGTTATGTAGTGCAAAGAATATTCAAATCAGTTTGAAGGCAGTGACTATGAAATGTTATCAGTAATTCTTTCTGTGTCTACCTTGACTGGAAACTCCTTGATGGCTCCATAGTTCTGGGAGAAGGCACGGAAACACAACATGAATCTGTTCCAGAACTTCCGACCCTGGACAAAACAACATTTCATATCCAGATTTAATACAACAGGACTGGCAATGAAAACATACATTGCCATTATGAAAAACTTAAACTTTTCTCCAACTCAAAATTTGACTCACCAGAAATTTTCGACCAAATCACTGTCTTCCTCAGCTATCTGACCCAAATGCTGTGAGTGTGGACACGTGATTTTTCCCACGTGTGACGTCAGCAAAGGGTCAAAGGTTGTCTGAAGTCGATATGGCCCCCCGTCCCGGTTGAGCGATGGTTGAAGTGCCCTGATGTATATGGCCTCTTTGATGCCTCTCTTGAGGTAATCCTGTTCGGTATCCAAGATTCTGACCCCCTCCAAATCGACTTCAGACAACCTTTGACCCTTTGCTGACGTCACACGTGGGAAAAATCACGTGTCCACAGCATTTGTGTCAGATAGCTGAGGAAGACTGAGTGATTTGGTCGAAAATTTCTGGTGAGTCAAATTTTGAGTTGGAGAAAAGTTTAATTTTTCATAATGTAATTTACCAACTCAGATGAACTTTCATGCTGATACATTGCCATGGCGACGGTATTTGTTGATAGGGTTATTGCTTGCATGGCACTACAAAATGTATCATGATTTTGCAGAAGCCTCTTGGTGGTCTGTCATGGGTTTGTTTTGAGGTTGCAAGTCTCTGGGAGGACCTGCCCTGCGAGCCCCAGGGCTTGGTCACAGAAGGAGGGGCACCCCCCCCCCCGCAGCCACAATGTCCCAAGGGTTTCCAGGAAAGGGTGACTGACTGTGGGCATAAAAGTGTGTCAGCAAGCTGGGAGACATTCCTGTCGACATTCCACGCCTGTGGGTAAAATGCCTGTACAATTCCTAGAATTTTTGCAAACTGCAAACAATACTGTACATACCATTAGGCTCGCCCATGAGGTGTCGACAATATCACTCTGCCTACACAAGTCACAAGTAATAACTCCTGCGCTCAGACAACTTGAAGATTTAGAATTAGGCCACACCAATTTAATCAATTAGTTCTCCAATTCGCCCAATCCCTTTTTTCTAATTTGCAAAAAAAAGATTCAGGTTCTGAATCAACTCCAAAATAGTCATATTTTGACCCCAACAATTGAGGAAAGCTCCTTGTCTTCTTAGTTCTTTCAGTTTTTCCCCCCATCAATACATTGGGTTAAAATAAAAGTCTAAAATCCATTGTTTGAATCATAGAAAAGTCTGGTATGTTGACTTTATAGCTTCTAAGCATAGCTTCCAGGGCTATCATAGGCGGCCTAGGCCTGTTTTTTTTTTTTTACCCGCCACTTCATATTTTTCCGGAAAAAAAATTGAGAACCAACGAATCAAATTGTCGTAGCCTTAGGCTACAAATTTAAATCTTTGTCTCTGTATAAGCAAGAAGCATTTTTATGTTTACCATTGCAGAAGGAAAACATTGTTTTTGCTGTTTTTTCTCCTCTTCTTCGTCTCCAAACAAATAAGGTCAATGACATAAACCAGATGTCTGTCACCATGGTAACTAGTGTTGGGCTACATCATGTTGCAATTTTATAGCAAGAGGGATTTAGACTCCTGTCGCCATATACTAAGTATATAAATGAGTTTGAGCAAGAATTAACAAAGCAGACCATATGCGAAGGTAAACATTATGCATTAGCTTTGCAATTGTTACCTTTCTAGATAGAATTTATGACTGAAGCAATAGGAACATTTACCTGATCAGACCACATTCTCTTGAAGGCACCCTTGTGCTTGATGAAGAAGTCATATTCCGTTGGAGAGATGTCACAGTCAAACATGCCAAAGTCATAGGCAGTCAACTGTACCTTCCTCATGACTGCAGCAGTACTGTATACGCTTATCCCAAAAACTGTGATTCAAAACACTGTGTCTGGCAATTAACCAGTAAATTTACACACTAACGGTTGCTCAACGTTGAAGTAGCTTTTGTATTTTAATCAGGTTGTTGAATCCTTGACGGAAAAAATCAGCATTGTTGGTAAACTGTGTCAATAGCTGGATGCTCATTTGCAGACCTGCAATAGAATAAAAATTGATGAAATTTTAGTACAGGTAAGTACAGTACTGTATACTGCACTTGACAAGTACCTGATGTTATTATTATATTGTCTGTTTGTTTGTTTCTTTGTTTTTTGCTAGAAAGAAGCTTGAATACTGTAATTCACAAATAGCATTCACGGTAGCAAACTTTCACGGTCTGAGAAAAATGGCAATGTTCCGGGAACTGTATGTTCACAGTCAGGGTTCACAGTGGTGGCAGGTGCAGAAAAAAGAAAGTCGACAAATTATTTGTTCACGGTACTAATTATGATAAATTTGTGGTGCAGAAGTATAGGCGAAAACCGCAAACATACATAACTACCGTGAAAAAATCAGGAATTACAGTAGATTTAAAAGGCACATTCTTTCCTCAATGTTAATCTCACTGTTGTCATTTTGCTCTTGGACTCTCACTCTTAAAAAGCAATACATCATAATTTATTAGACCTACCTACAATTTTTCTTCAGTAAATCATGTGAAATATTTGTCCACAAGCAAACAGGTGGGTGGGTCTTTCAGACATTTTACCAAAGTCTAAAAAAAAAAAGATCACCCTAGTTTTTATCAGGTCTGAAGTGCAAAACACAAAATTAATTTTCCTACGCCTAATAATCATAACCAGATGTGAAGAAAAAGGCCATGTTTTCCCTGTTATTTGGATTCCATGTAATACATGTACTGAAAAATTAAAATTTATTACCGTAAAAATTCTAGACGAAAAAGAGGAAGTAACTTTTAACATATTCAATCATAACATTGTGTACAACACTTTAAAACGGAGCTTTCAACAGAAGAGTCAAAGACATAGACGAGGAAAAACTAAAATTTCATAATTAATGAAAAATTTCAAGGTTAAGCCCAAGACAATTGCTGATGACGTGTGCACCTTTTCTAGAAGGTTTTAACGCCAGGTGTTCCAGCTGGTTTCACGTGCCCTCCCCACACCTGTAACTCTGGACAACAAAAACGCACCTGAAATAGCTCTAAACGTAACAGAATTAATCCCAGAGATGCACTAATAGATACTTTTAAAGCATACAACGACAAACCTGTTGAAAATAAGCTCAATTCTTGATTAGATGATTTAAAACAACTCTTGTACTTCAACTTACTGTTAGCTTTGTTGTGAAGCGGACTTGGTCCTACCCGTCATGCACCGCGATGACCTGGAGTGACCGCAAGATGAGGCGCCGGTTTTCTTTTTCTTCAGAAATTCTTCTTCTCCCTTTTGAGGGATAAGACATCACTTTAAGTCGGTTTCTCTACTCGATTAGCCCTCATTTGAGAGATTTCAGTGCCCAGGATACTCTGAAACGGTTTCAACTAAGACAGAGTCAAGAAAATCTGGGTAAGTAGGTGAGCGAGTGAACATACATGGGGAGGGGGGCGGTGAGAAAAAACACATGTTCGTATCGAGCGAAAGTCAACGGTTTGTTTCTTGATATCAAGTTAAATATCTGCTCAGAACTGAGCCTATGTATGTAAGAGTGCCAAAGGATACACGGAGATGTTCTTAATTACCAAATTACTGCTCTGTTTTTATAATATGGTGACCAGCCTCTCCAACTTTGTCCTGGCCTGCAACTTGCTACAAAATACATCCAACACCACAGGGTGTCTCTGCTACAGCACCAATTACCATGGTGACAGACGTCTGGTCAACGTAATTGACCTTTTTATAGGGAGAAGAAGAAGCAGAGCAAAAGCATATTATACTGGCTACGTTTTCCTTCTGCAAATTTTATTATATAACAAAGGGTGGAGTTTTAATATTCATAATCATATTCTGTGTGATGTTCCCGTTTGTACCAGACGATGTGTACAGTAGTGAGTCAGAAGACGTCCGGCCTGCTGGACAGGACGTACCAGCAGCTGCAGGTGGTACAGCAGTCACAGCTGGCTCTGGGCTGGAGCGTACTCAACCTGGCACTGGCCGGCATCTTCTCAGCAGAACTGTGAGTAACAACCGGACAATTTTTTTTCCAAATCTTAATTTATTTTCAGGACTGAAACAGGAAACTCAATATTAATTTTCTTAGGCCTAATGTCCTACATAGCCCGAATAAGATGTTTTGTGTACAGTTGTTCATTCGCCATTTATATTATAGATATATAATTATAAATCTTTTATAGAGCTAATACAATATACAATTCATATGTGTCATGTTGCAAAGATGCTTGGTTTTGATTTTGAGGGTAACATTTACAAGTTACATTTAGCGAAGTACACATGTGATTTGTATTTGTCCTGTTTTCATATATCTCCTAACCATATTTGATTTCTACAGTGTATTTGGTTCCATCAACCACATGCTGTCTTTGACACACCCCATTGTGTGGTACACAGGTATGTGCTAATTAATTGTTTTAACAAGTATTAGACAAAAGCACAATTGCTCATGTAATGCCTTCAACTCAAGGACACAATGACATTCATAGCATGTACAGCTCATGTTAGTGCTTTGTCTTTTTATTGTTTAATTCAGTTGACCACCATTTTGTGGCAGATGTATTTGTTATGTGTAGTTTTTAATACAAGTATGCAATTCAGCACCTAGGCACTGCTATTCACATGGGATTTCGATCAATCTATAAAGAAATCAATATATAACTCTGTATGTCTGTCCATGTGTGTCCAGAGTGTGTGTTGGCCTGTGTGTTCCTGGTCAACTCCATAGTGGACCTGGTGAGGTATCTCCGACCCGGCATGCTGTCACACCCGGTAGAGATGACATCTCAGCAGCGCCGCCTACTGGGAGTCACAGGAAACGGTACAGATGCATTTCAGTGCTCTTACCTTTATACCAGAATCAAGCTGCAAGATTCTGTATGAACAACTATGAAAGAGGTGCTAGTGTCACGGAAATGAAAAGAAACCTACAGTGGACCTCACTGGAAGACAGAAGAAAGATGTCCAGACTATGCATGATGTACAAAATGACTAATAAACTGGTGGATGTCCCAACTACTAAGTACCTAATACCAGCCCAGAAGAGAACAAGAAATAGCCATGCATTCAAGTACCAGAGTTATCAACCAAGGATTGAGGTGTTCAAGAATTCATTCTTTCCTAGAACTATCGCAGAGTGGAACTCACTGTCACCAAGTACAGTAGGGGCATTGTCAATAGATAGCTTTAAACAATGTCTAGAGCTAGAAGTCCAAGGGTTAGGTGTAACAAGTCGATCGGTGTAATATAGCCAGCTGCCGCCGCACCGCGTGCCTGCGAAGCTGGTGTGTTACGCTGAAAGGCGGTTATACCGGCTATACAGATACAGATACAGATACAGATACCAGTGAGGCAATGTTCTGTAACAAGGCTAAACTGTAACTTAGTGTAAGATTTTCCTTATTGATATATTCCTTTCTAGTGGCACCAGCTTTTGAGGGGGCTTTTTTAAATTCGTAATGCTCTCAAACACTACTTCCTGCATTTTGAGGTGCAAATTTTGAGGACTACAGGCTGCCGCCAAGTTTTTTTTCCTTCGTTACAACATCATTTTTGTATTTATAGTAAGGCTGAAGTGAAGGGAGGCATGTGTGCATGGCATAGGTTGGGAGTGGAAAAAATTGGGTGTCTTTACTAGGGTGTCCTACCAAAAAGTAGGGAGTCCAATTTCTTGTTATTTTCAGTACAGGGAGTCCAAAAGACACCCTGGACACACCCTAGCTAAAAGCATGGTTGCCATAAATTGTACATTGTACCACGTACAAGTGTTGTGCAATAAAATTCTTCTGTCTTCCTACTCTTCACAGTCCCAGGGTTTCGGACCTCCCCGGTGAAGCCGTTGTCACCACGTGATGAGAAGAAGAGAGAGACAGAGTCCCCCGTCCTGCTGCCCACCATGAGCGCCAGTCTCACCCCCGTTAACCCCTCCCCACCCCAGCCTAACCCCCTCTACATGTCCTCCCCATACCTGGGGGGCAGCGGGCACTACTCCCCAGCCACACCACCCTCACGGGTAGGTACACGTGTTTGATGGACTATATCTATATTACGGGTTGGTGGAAAAAACGGTCCAGTCTGGACCGGTCAGGGGGTGGAAAGAGCAGTCCGGCCCTGTCACGTGTAGTTGCGCCCCCTGGCAGAAAGTGATAGAACTACATGTAGTCTGGTACCACACTGATGCGTCCCCATATATCCCAGTATAAGACGTGCCGATTGGCAAATGTTGATGTTTTTGTTTAAGATTCAATTTACGCTGGAAGACTGTACACTTTACGCTATATTACTAGTCGGGGTTCTCACCAGGATTTTTTTCATAGCGTAGGGGTCACAAAGTACCTTAAGTTTGTCTTTTCAACAGTTCGACAAATTTTCGTCTATCTGTATTGTTTGAAATGTGATGCTGCTTTCAGATTGTACTGTTTTTTTTTTTGGTAATTATAAGGACTGGTGCACATCTGAACACTACTTTTTTTCTATAGCCACCCAGTGCAGGATCTGGTATGTCACCAGCATTGAGGGACCTATCACTACTGGACAGCTCAGGGTAAGTGTTGTTATATACATGTACATAAATAAAGTCAGCTTCCATTACATGTATATACTAATAGTACATTCCGTTATGAAGCTCTTCTTTATTGTCCAATCTTTATCCCTGTTGAACAGTTATCTATGTTTTCCCAAACATACAGCTCCCGCTTGCGTCACCGCTCGGCTCCTGTGTCTCCTGCCCAGAACTCTCCTGGTGAGTATGAAACAACACTACTCTCAGCTACATTTGTCAGTACCACCATACTGGGCTCTAGCCAGTACCTGGTTTTCCATCAGTTGCAGAAACTTTGTGACGTGTTGCGAAAAATTTTTTTTTCTTCAACCTTGACGGACAAGATTGACAAAATCTTCAACCAGTCACTCCGGTCTTCTTCAACAGACTGACCCAGTGAGACTTGCGGTCATGCGGATTTTCTGAAATGTGACGTCAACACTGGGTCAAAGGTATCTGGTAGACGATGTCAACCATTTTGACCCAGTGTTGACGTCACACTTCAGAGAAGCCACATGACAAGTCTCACTGGGTCAGTCTATAGAGGAAGACCAGAGTGACTGGTCAAAAGCTCTAGTTGAGAACAATTTCTCTTGTGCCGGAACAAAATTTTAACTCTGAACATGTAACTACCAGCACAGATGAACTTTCATGACAGTTTCGTGAAAATGTTGACCTTTTTTTTTCAGTGATACCAGAAGAGGACATCAGAAACATGGATGACCTCCAGAACTACCTGCAGCAGTTTGAAGAGAGGGAAATGATCAACCAACTGGGTATGCTCAGGATGGAACTGTTTATTCTGAGTATTGAAAATAGATGTAACAACTCTGTTGCTATTTGATATTCATCATGTACATATAGACTACTATGTTAAAGATTTGAACTCAGTCATTTCTGTTTTAGAATAAACATCTAAGATTTGCTGTCAGTGTTTGAGCCAGCGTGGAATTTTTTTCCGTCATCTCACATTTGTTTGATATAACATCATCCCAGGGCATGTTCCCTTATAAGAATTTTGAAATGTTGACCCTTGTGTAAATTTGGCTGGTACAGAAAAAACTTTCATTTTTTTTCGTTTCTTCACGCTGATTTTTGTCTGTCAAAGATGACGGATTGGGCAGCAGATTTGTCCATGAGGATCAGCAAAGTTCTGTCAAATATTGGAAAAAAAGATGCTGGCTAGGACACTGCTTGCAACATAAACTGTTGATGTTACAGATTGTGCTTCACTTTATATATCCTAGGTGGCTACCAGTCTGAATACCATCCGGATTTTGCTCCGCTACATGATTTTTTCTAGCAGGACAAAATCCGGATGGAACCAGTATATTTGTGGCATGGACAGTGCTTGCTTCCCTGCTTGCCTCTCCCCATGTCTCCTGCTTTACAAGTGACCCTCTGTGTCGTCATATTGGTGGCAAACCCTGCTTTTTTCGTTTTTGTTCTAGTGCTTTATGTTATTAGAATGGCAAGTGCTGGATTATCTGTGACCCTAACATGACTGATCCTTGTTGGATAGATGTGCATGGCTTCAGCCAAGAACTGCTGTCCTTATAAAAGGTCCCAGTTTTGTTCTATAGAAGAATTACTTTGTCATAGTTGCAGATGTTTCTGTCCGATACTTATGACTAGGTATATATTATGGCTTGCTGTGGTATAACTGTCCTCTTGTGTGTGGTAGTTTCCAAAGTGTCCTAATGCCTTTGAACACCCCATAGACCTTAAAATACAAGACTAGACCTGGCTTTTTGTACGCTATGTATAGTATAGACCATTCTTACAACAGATGTATTTATGATAATATAATTTTTCACACGTCATGCTTGGCTTGATATTTTCATCATTCCAAAGCAATTTTGCAAAGAACCTGCTCCAATTTAGATGGTGTTAAAATTTAGATCGTGTAGTTCGTACATTTTTATAAAAGTTTGTTCTTTGCCGTATTGCCCCCCTCCCCCCTCCTGTCTTGCCTTGGACCCTCTATCCTGTATAGCTGGTGTATTTGCACCGACCAGGTCAGCGCACACTGACCCGTGGCTGTCCAGGACTGGTGGTCAGCATGTCCTGAGACACCATGTCCATCTCCGGCCAGTGCCGCGTGGTCAGGCCGGCTGGCCAGTGTCCTCCTGGTGGCACCACAAGTGTCTAAGTTATGGTATCTCCGCTCTCTTCTTATCTATCCTGCACTTGTAGCATGTGCCACTGGTATACACAAAATGTACATGTACATGTACATTGTTTACAGGTTTTACTAGTCTTACTATTCGTAGGCTTGCACATTCTAGTTCCCCATGGAAGTGCTTTTGATACAAGAAAAAAAGTGCTGTGAGTGTGAGTTCTTCTACTGCAGCTTTCTAATCTTATGCTGGCAATGCTAAAGCTTTAAAGCTTTCTTAGGCTAGTCACTGCTAAAGTTTTAAAGCTTTCTTATGCTGGCACTGTTAAAGTTTCATGAAAACCGACAAGAAAGCTTGATGGAATGGCATTTTTGCACCTTGCAGCTGGGTCAATAGGGCATAGGTTTAGGTTTAGGTTCAATTGTAAAATGGGTAGGAATTTTACTGCAGGTTTCTTGTTTTCTGTTCTATGTTGTCACCTCGCCTTTTGTATTGGAAGACCACTTGTCTAAGCAAGGATCTCCATGATCTAAGAAGACTGAAGTGTGACTGTACCAATCTTGTCATAGGAATTTGCCTTGTAACTCCCTTCCAAGTTTGGAGACAAATTACAGCACAGATGTTTCGTTAGTATTATCCTCCTTTTCAGGCATTCCAGGTGCGATCAGCATTTTTCATTTTTTTCTGGGGGGGGAGGGGAGTGCTAGTTTTTTTCCCGGTGCGATCAGCAAAAAAATGCCAACTGCACCTGGAACACCTGCAAAGGAGGCTAGTAGATGGGTTGCAGTGCAGTAAGCCATGTCTCCCCTATGCATTTACAGGTGGAGATACATCCCCAGGTGCTAACCCCACCATGTGGAACTACAGTCGGTCCTCGCTGGACTACACCCAGGTGCTGCGGCGGTACCAGTACCAGATGGCCAGCCGGTCACCTCAGTCCACCACCACACACAGCAAGGACAGTCCGGACCTGCCCGACTCTTATGGCGCTGATGAGGTACACAAAGTACAACATGCTGCGCCTGTGCAAAACCCTGATTTTTCACAGTTTTCATTGCATCTTTGGTCAATGTTGCATTGGAATTTTGCCTGTTGCAGAGGATATCTTTTCCGTCATAACATTTGGAAACTACAGACAGGATCTTAAATCACCGGGTGACATGAGCTCAGGAAAAAATACACACATGCAAAAATAACATGTAGAGATGCAAATCGCCTGCCAGGACTGGCGTACAGTGCGGACTTTTCCAAGGCAGGGCATGAACATTTTGAAAGTAACAGGAGAACCGTGCATATTTATTGTAAATGTGCCTGTTAGCCAGGTAATACTAGTTATGTCAATTACAATGAGCTAAAGTCATATTTTGGTGTCATGAGCACTTTAATGTACATGTATTATTACTCAGCTATCATATGATGTTCCCTGTAGCACGTCTGGGGCAAACTTGGAGTGAGACGAGATGAACTGGACGCCTGGACAGCTAATTTAAGAAAGGTGACATGACAGTGTATTGTAAATCACTTTTTATTCGCGGTAGCAAAATTTTGTGGTCCGTGTTCTGAGAAAAATGGCAAAAAATGTTGAGCTGGCTGAAGCCCTGCTATATTAGCGAGCAAAGTTGTTAAACAGAATCTGTATAGGTTGTACTGATATGTGCCCCCCTCCCCACAGTGGATCTCCCAGACCATCCTAGTACGACTGGTGAGGGAAATCAACAGGATCAACTCAGCCATGCGCCGGATTGGCTGTGCTGACGTCCAGGTCGGAGGTAATTTTTTTTCAGTTCTTGGTATCAGAACAAGGCTCATACCAACCACCTACTTGTTTTGGTTGTTGGGGGTGGGTGGGGGGTAATTGTGTAATAGCGTAATTAATTATAATAAGGAACTCTAAAGACAGGTGTTTGTAATACCTCATACTTGAAAAGTTTACGGTTGTACCCACTTGGGAAGCATTCACACGGAAGCTTGTTCCATAGTTTTCATGCTTCCAGCGAGGAACTTTCTCCTGAGGGATAGTGTATGGAGGAAGAAAGGGTGGTTTGCTTCTGTCATACATGTAGTAGCAAAATGTGTCCTGGCCGAGAAGAGAGAGATCTAACGTCCAGTTTGTTTGTATTTATTGCAGATGTGAGTCTGAGTTCCCTGCGCCATGTAGCAGTGACCAAGCAGCAGCATGTCCGCTCACTGACCAGTCTGCTACCGTACCTGGACATGTCCTCCAACCAGGAGTATCTTGTTAGCCGCGTCAAAGGTATGGCTAGCGTGTTACACAGAGGGGCGGTTATACCAGCTACAGATGTATTTTCTTGTCTTTGGGGGTTAAGGTAGCCAAACATCAACTTGCTGATGATTCTGCTACACTGTAGAATTAAGATTGTGCTGTAGAATTTGGACCATCGCATGCCGTGGCATAGATACAAATTTCCTGCCATAAAATGCCAATAAAGATTTATAACCAAACAGTTGGCTTCACACAGACGTCAGATGGATAAATCACAATTTACAAATCACATGTCCCCTAGCTGCTGTAGCTGATATTTTTGTGGAGCAACATGGCAACACATAAGCAGGCATCCCAGGAGGTGGCAAATTGCTGTTGTCTCATCAGCGCACAAAACAAACATGAAAACCGACCCCATCACATTAATGCTAACGATAACGTGTTAGAGCTAAATTCTAACGAAAAAACAATGAAAAATTACATAGAAATAGCAAAAAAAAACTATTTTCTAACCCGTTAGTAACAATGTACCAGGTTAAAATTTGAACGTACATGAATTATGCCCACTCTCATACATTGTATGTACCATCCTCTCTCTAGAACTAGCCCAGGGTGGGAGTATGAGTGAATTCAGGTGGAACTCTGGTGGAACATTCAAGAACAGGAAGTGGGACCAGGACCTGCCTACAGACTCTGCTGTAAGTTTTTGTAGGGCCTAGGAAAAAAATGTTTCATTTCCCGACCAACCCTAGCAAAAAACCCACCGATCTAGCCTTTTTTTGGGATTGACTGCTGGTAAGGCTAAAAAAATTTCATCTGACAACTTAATTTCATACCCTCTGAATTCTGAAATGTCATTTAATGCATAATAGTCCTCACTAAATTTCCTGAATAAAATTTGCTTCTAATATTATTAGAAGCTAATATTATTAGAAGCAAATTTTATTCAGGAAATTTAATGAGGACTTGAAGTGTATTTAAACCATACTGTAGGTTTCTATGGCCAAAAGTAATATTACTGTCTGCCCATAATAGAGTCTTCATTTCTTAGCATTTTACTTTCCTTTGTAATTGATTTTAGCTATCTACAACATTAGTATCATTTTCTAATATTCTTTTGCAATATAAGGCATATATTTGCTCATTTTTGCAGCTGCTCTGTACAATTTTGAGTTTGGCCAAAAACATTCTTTTTTTTTAACAGACAAAAATTTTTGTGCGTGTGGATCCATGTAAACAGATCAACATGGCCTTATCATGTAGTAAATTCATCCCTTTATTTTCCTCTTGTTATACTATTATAGATCATCATGCACATGTTCTGTACCTACCTGGACTCCCGCCTGCCCCCCCACCCTAAGTTTCCAGATGGAAGAACCTTCACAGGACAACACTTCATCAAGACTCCGGAGGAACCAGGTATGTTAACCCTCTCCCCACTGACTTCTGCTGGCACCAGTACAACTCTGCCGAATAGATGAGTCCATGGTTCTGAGAAGGTTAAGAAAAGAGCTAGGGGAAGTTCCCCAGTACAATGAACCTGTAAATACTGTACTTAGCATCTGTCTTCTCTGTCACGACCAGTGGGAGATTAGCTCGTCAAGAGTAAGATCAAGGTCACACATGATATTGTTTTTGCTCAGTTTCTTCTTCTTCCTCCATTCCAAGCAAATAAAGACCTGGACCAGATGTCTGTCACCACGGTAACTGGTGCTGTAGCAGACACCCTGTGGTGTTGGGTTAAATTATGTAGCAGAACAGAGTTGGAGAACCTTCTCACCATGCATATTGAACGTTATGCATTTGCTTTGCAAATGGTACCTTTCTAGTATTTTCTCCTTTTTTTTAAATTATGTTTACGGAAGGAAAACATATTGTTTTTGCTCTGTTTCCTCTCCTTCTTCTTCTTCTTCTCCAAACCAATAAGATCAATGACCTGAACCAGACATCTGTCAACATGGTAACTGGTGTTGGGTTACATAATGTTGCAATTTTGTAGCAGGAGGGATTTAGACCAAGGAGCTTTCATCATGTACTTAGACCATGTACTTAGTATATGAATGTTTTAGAGTAAGAATTAACAGAGCAGACCACATGCGAAGGTAAACATTATGCATCTGCTTTGCAAATGTTACCTTTCTAGTTATATTTCCTTTTTGTTCAGACCTGAAGAAGAAGGACAACCTGTTGTTGCACCAGGCCCACATCAACCCTCCCCACTTCACGGTGGTGGTGGGTGACCAGGCCTACCAGCTGCACAGGGGGCGCTGCAACCTCTTCCATGCCATCCTGCTGCTACTACACCGCATCAAGACTAAGGAGTATGGCATGCTGGGGTACGTGTGGGTGCTGCTCTTCCTTCCTTAGACCACACCAATTTGATTAATATAAAAATACTGGTTCTTGGATTAGCCCGCTTCAATTTTTCCAGAATGCAAAAAAATTGTTCAGGTTCTGAATCAACTCCTAACTGCAGGTATTTTGGCCCCAACAGTTGAGGAAAATCCTTTTCTTACAGAATGTTTTCCATCTATCATTGAGGTATTTTAATTAAAAGTTCAAAATTCATAAACCAGCCTGGTATGTTGACTTCATGGCTCCTATCATAGCATTTGGGGCTATCGTAGGATTTTTTTTGCCCTGTTACTTCATATTTTGTCTGGAAAAAGTCAAGAACGAACAAATCAACTTGATGTGGCCTTATGGGAAAACTTGAATCTTCAGAAATGTTACTATAATAATATTACATGTCTATTACTGCTGCTAGTTTTTGAAATACAGTAATTTATCAAGGTTTGTTTAACAATGCAAAATAGAATCCTTTTTTCTCAATTCTGTCCATTTTCTTTCCTGTCTTTTGAATCTTACCATCTTCTTTGACAGCCAAGTGAATCTGGGACCATCTGGTGTCAACCTGCTCTGGATATTTGACTCCACGTGACCACAGACAGGGGAAGGTTGTGAATGTGTGACAGGGGCTTTAGTTGATAGACCAAAGCATATATAGGCAGCTACACTGCAGAACACTGAGAATTAGAAAGATTGAGCAGTGATATAATAAGGAGAAAAAACTGTTAAATACATTTTGTGTATACATTTCTAGGGACCCATCTGTAAGACAAAGAGGTGCTATCATCTACAAAAGGAGCTCTTTATTTTTGTGATAGACATTTTCAGTCAGAACAGGAAATGTGGTATCATATGTGGTTGTGCATGTGTACTTGAAAAATACAGATGCCTTTGGCACATTCAGTTGCAATGCAGGACACAGTTACTACTGTGGATCATGAGTGTTATTTTATTACAGTAATGTAAAGTTGTGTTGCTTGCTACATGTATGACATCTCTCTACTTAGTGAACATGTATACATTTTATGTGATAATGACTTTGAGTCGCTTAGACAAAATTGCCCAGTACTCTACCTTCTTTAGTGTCTGGACATTTTCTAGAATACAAAGGCAGGGTGCAAGATAGGGTTTAGAAGCCATTTCTGTTAGATTTTGTCATCAGGAATGTACAGTTTCTGTTCAGAATGTAGGTACGCATATCAGCAGTCGAAATTTGAAATTAATAATACATAACCAGCATGCCATTCTGTGTGTATTTTGTACATCTTTATGTGCTGTAAGAACTGTGCAGGACCAAGATGTATGTCTAGTGCCCTATTTGCTACTCACCCATGCAGTGCCTTGTAGTAATAATGAATCCAACAAAGTGAGGATGGTACCAACACAAAATACAAATGTAGTTGCAGTCCATTGTACAAGACTAATGTTTCTTTCTATTTTCATTTTTCTTTTCGTTTGTATTCATACATGGTGTGAACTGTGTAGTGTCAGTTTTTCATGGATGATTAACATTTCATGTGAGTGTCTTATACATGTAATAAAAAATAAAGTTGTATTAAGATCCTGTAATTACTTTGTGTTTAGCAAATGTTTTAGACGATTGAAATGTCTGTACAGCTATTGACCTCATTGGGTTGTGCTCTGAAAAGGGTCGAAACATCCAAGTATATATAGCAACATACCAGGTCCTAAAGAGGGATGTTTAATGAAACTACATATAGCAGAAGTTGATAAAACATTCCTACATCAAAGGGCTGCAGTACTTCAGGTGATAGAAAGAGGGCGCTTTTGGTGCAGTACCGGTCCTGGCCTACTTCAGAAAAGTTGCTAAACCCTGGCCTGTAAATATCAAAATATATGTTGTACACCTGTTAACGCCATTGTAAAACGTTTATTTGTGAAGATAGCAATACGAATTTAAAGGTGCCCTGTAGCTGCATTTTCATCCATATTTTTTTTTACCGAGATCAACGTTAGTGTCGTTCGTAATTAGATAATCTAATCGTCCTTCTTCGACACATATTAGTGCCTGGCACCGAAACGGGCCGTCATTGGTCGTCATAATTAGATTATCAACTTAACATTAATTATGCACGGCCGCTCTGTACACCTGTGTAAAAACAAGTTTGGCATGGTTCAAAATGGCGCTTTCGTACGACGGGAATACTCTGGGCTGATTTTTTCACAAGTTTCTGGGTACTTTTAGACGTTTTAGTCGGTAGAATGTCTTAGTAAGTGTGCACCAGAATGTTTGGAGTTTTTCGCTGTGGATTTGTGCCGTCCTGGTGATGTTTTGAGGAGAAAATACGGATTTCCTGACCTGGCGAATATTGGAGAAGACAAAAATGGCGAGACAGTTGGGATGAGTAGCGTGGTATGGAGACGACTTCGCTCATTGTTTCAGGTAAACCAGTACATTGTTTGGCTGACATTATTCCTTAGCAACTAGTACGAACATGTCAACATATTCCGTAAGAAATGAACTATTTCTGTATTAGGTAGCGACCGTTTCTAATTTTACATAGGCTTAGAAAAGTCTATCAAGTTGCCGCGTTTTCAACAACATTTTCAATGTGTGGTGCACTTGTAGAGTGTTCAATGTATTTGCATGTTTTTTAGTCAGTTGTTCAGCGTTTTTAGGTTATATTTGTCGAAAAAAATTCTGCATTGACCAAACCATTTTCTCTCTTTATCTCCACGTGGTTCAAAACACCTGTTGGAATGTGGCCGTGTACATAATTTTCCCGCCAAAAATTTGCGTAAACAAGATGGGGGCCTCAAAGCTTCAGGGCACCGAAATGAATACGATACAAAACGGTTGAAAACTAGTTAAGTCGAGTTGACTATACTTTGAAATTCGTTTTTCATTATCATTTGCAATGTATCATTTATAATCAAAAGCTTGTTCGTTTCCTTATAGAGTAATTCAGTAAACAGTAATGACCAAGCCCAAGTATTTCTGGCGCAAACACTACACATGACTATGCTTGAAGGTAGCATGGAGGTAGAAAAAAGAGATGAAGGTAGCAATTCCTGTTTTCAAAATATTTTGCGCCTATTTTTTTCGTATTCCACATAGTTTCAGTTGAAGGGGGTTGATTTATTTTATTGTTGTTTCTATCCCCGTTTTTATGGTCATGTAGAGTTTTCGTCGAGGTATGTGTTTGTTTAAAAAAAGTAAAGATATATTTAAGGTGTGTGTGTGTGTGCATTGCTAGATTTTAATTTGAGACAAGTGTCCAACTTATAATGTATTATGGTTAGATAAGGCTTATGCAGTAGTGAGAATTTCTGTCTGAACCTGACAAGACAGATTGGACCAGACCAGATGATTTGAAGACCGAAGAGGAATATCAGGTAAGAAAAATCCCAATTACGCATTTCAACTACCATTTACTTGGTATTATTTGAGACAAGTGTGTAATTTCTAATGTCTGCATAGTTAGGTGGCTGCTGACTGATGCAGTACTGAAGACTCCTGTCTGAACCTGACAAGACAGATTGGACCAGATGATTTGAAGATCCATGAGAAATATCAGGTGAGAAAAATCTGACCTCTGCATTCAACCTATTATTTACTTCATGTTGTTTGAGACAGTGTGTAACTTTTAATGTCTGTATAGTTAGGTGGCTGCTGACTGATGCAGTATTGAAGACCTCTGTCTGAACCTGACAAGAAAGATAGGACCAGACCAGATGATTTGAAGATTCAAGAGGAATATCAGGTGAGAAAAATCCCAATTCTGTATTTTACCTATTGCTTATTTGAGACAAATGTGAGACAAATGTGGAACTTTTAATTTCTGTATAGTTAGGTGGCTGCCGACTTATACAGGAGTAAAGACTACTGTCTGAACCTAACAAAACAGATTGGACCAGAAGATTTCAAGACTGGTACCGAAGAGGAATATCAGGTGAGAAAAATCCCAATTCTGCATTTTACCGACAACTTATTTGGTCTTATTTGAGACAAGTGTGTAACTTCTACTGTCTGTATAGTTAGGTTGCTGCTGACTGATGCAGCAGTAGTGGTGAATTTTTCATAAATTTAACCTGACTAGAGAAGATTGGACCAGACCAGGTGATTTGAAGACCGACGATGACTCTCAGGTGAGAAAAATCTGAATTTTGCATTCAACCTACTATTTACTTTGTTATTTGAGACAAGTGTGTAACTTCTAATGTTTGTATAGTTAGGTGGCTACTGACTGATGCAGTATTGAACACTACTGTCTGGACCTGACAAGAGAAGATTGGACCAGACTGGGTGATTTAGAGACACAAGAGCAAGATGACAACAACAACATCCACAGGTGAGATAACAATTGCTTTTGAAGATCTATTTGACTCTAGCACTCTTCCCTTATGTCTTACACTTTATAAGAAATAACACACATGTAGCAAAACATCTTTCACATTAATTTTGTATTGCCTATGACTTGAATAAATGACTAGTATATTAGACTTCTTGAGCACTTGTCAACATTTCTAGGAAGAGGCAAATTAAAAGATTGCATATGAGAGTTCATCTTTACCTGGTAGCTACTTACCCATTCATATACAATAGCCATGTACATGTACCTGGCATCAATTGTTCTTTTATAATTATGTAGATATAATTAGGGTCAGCTGTCCAGATGTTCCTTTTCAAACCAGGCTGGATGTGACAGCTGACTTTGAAGTTGAAGACAGAGTGAAGAGTTTGTACAGGTGAGACCATGCTTTCCAACTTTATTTTTTCTGTGTGTTAAAAACTGAGAGGCAATAACAAGCTACTTTTAATATTTTGTACATATCTAAGCCATCAATCAAGCGCAAGCATCATCTAAGCAAAGAGATAGTTAAATTGCAGGATTTTATCATTATCTTTCATAGTCACATAGTTGCCTTTAAATTTTGGGGTTAGCATCACACTAATTATTTGTTATATTAATTAGGTGTGTCCTGACGTTCCTGTCCTGACTGGGAAAAACCTGCGGTGACGGCTGAGCAAACCAGTTGACCTGAAGACACAGAGTTTGTACCTGATTAGGCAGGTGAGACAATACTTAATAACAGTGTCATAGATTTCCTATTGGATGTATTATTAAGAGCTGTGGCATAGCTTGCTACCAGTAACACTTAGGTTTTTCTATCTTTTTGTGCATCGATTCATGATTTATGTGTGACATAATTTGTTGCAAGGTCAATAGCTGTTTTCACACACTGACTTTTGTTTCTCTGTCTTCAAGATGCGGACCTGGAGACTGGACTGCCAAGGGAGGATCAGAACACGACTTTTATCAGCGCAGCTGTGTGAAAGAAGATGGGGTGTGTGAGTATGGTTTCTTTGTTAACACAGGACAACACTCCACACACATCCACTCACATTTCTCTCCCTTATGCCCAGTTCACTCTACTCTGAGGGTCCACATGCCTTTTTCTGTGAGGAGCCGTTAATCATAGCCACTTAAATTCCACCTTGTTTGGCCAATCCTGAATTCAGTGCAAAGAGACGGCCTGCGTGCCCTTTTTTTCTTTTAAAAACAGGCCTTTTTAGGTTAGATAATCACTACCCCCCATTACTGAAAATTGTCCCAAAATTTTCGCTTTAGGGCTTTATACTTAATTTAGATTCTCCGAACATTTATTAATAATTGATTTTTTCACGTTGTTTGGCTGATCCTAAATTCATCGTAAAGTGAAGGCCTGCATGTCCTTTTTTCTTAAGACGTAAGCAGCCCTTTGAGTCTTCAAAATCTGTAAGCAGCTGCCCAAAATTATCATAATCACTAACCCCCATGAGCGTCACTAAAAATTGCCTCCAAAAATTGTTGCTTTGGGCCTTTACACTGAAATTCTCCATATTTTTCATGTTGTTTGGCTGATCCTGAATTCATTGTAAAGTGAGGGCCTGCATGCCCTTTATTCATATGGCGTAAAAAAGCCTTCTTAGTCTTTGTAAGGGGATAGTCAGCTGCCCAAAATCATTCTAATCACTACCCCCCACGCAGGCCCTCTTAAGTGTCCGACTTAAAATTGTCACATGGGCCCAAAGTCTCCAAACACTTTTTTCTGCCAAAAAACATAGCCTTTCAAGTCTTCATAATCTGCAGGCAGCTGCCAAAAATCACCGTAATCACTAACCTCCATGGGCATCACTAAAGATTGTCTCTTTGGGCCTTTACACTGAAATTCTCCATGTTTTTCATAAGGCGTAAACAAGCCTTTTTAGTCTTCGTAATCGATAGGCAGCCACCAAAAATCATAATCACTTCCCCCATACAGGCCCTCTTAAGTGTCACTTTGGGCCAAAAACTTGGCATAATTGTACCCTCACCTGGGTAATTAATTGGATTAAAATTTTCCCGCCAAAAAACTTAGTATATAGAGGACTCTAACCTTGAACTTGTGCCTCCTCCTTACTTCTGGACTGTTAGCTCCACTGCTACTACTCACACAGTACATGACCAACACTGTCCCAACATGTTCAACCTTTCTTTCCACTGAACTTCTCCCAACACTAATGCTACATCAGACCAACCTCCCCATGCACTTGGTTCATTGAGCGAAG